TAGTGCCAGCGACGCCCGACCACCCTCCCATTTCCCTTAAAAATCGGCCGCTGAAAACAAACACCATAAAACGCCGCACTACTTCTCCCTGAAAAAGACCACCGAAATGGCCGAAAACAGCCGAAATCGGCCGAATTCGAGTTGAATGGTTGGTTTTAACCGAAAATCGGTCGATTTCGGCCGTTCGTGGCTGAGTTCGTTAGCGGTGGCTAATTTCGTTCATGGCTGGGCGGGATTTGGGGAAGGGAAGGGGTGGGGGAGGGGTTTTCGGGGGTGGGGGAAGGGAAGGGGTGGCTGGGCGGCGGTTTACGATGGCGGGGGAGGGGTTTTCGGGGAAGGGGCCGATTTTCCGGCGGTGGGGGTGGGGGTGTGGTGTTTTCCGGGAAAGGGTAAGGGGCTGGGTTTGGTAGTTTTTTTTTTTTTTTTTTAAAAAAAAAAAAATTTGTTTTAATTTTTTTTTCTTTTTATTTTTTATTTTTCATGGACCTACCACGTGTTGAACGTGTATAGGTAACCTGCTACATCAGGTTGGATGACTTGTTGGGTGCAACGAAAATTAATACCCCCCAAAGTTGGGAGTGATAGATAATAAACTGAAATTGGGATTAATTTCGGCGGATGAGGCAAAGTTCAGATTAATGGGAGCAATTTTTCCTTTAACAAAAACTATTATTTAAACTTTACATAACGTCTACCTTTTTTTTTTTTTTTTTGCAGGTTTAAAACTGCAAATGATGCTAGAGATTTTAATTGTTATAAAATCTTTAAATAATAACCGCCATTTGAGTGTTATGATTTTATATTAACTAAAAATGTATTATTCTCGCATGATGCAAGACAAATTGATTTCACATGTCAAAAGAAAATTGCCAATTAATATCGTTGGCAGATGTAAACATGCATGTAATTAATTTTATGAATCACTAAATGTTGTACCGGTCTTAGCGAACTTATGTTTTGCGGAAAAAAACCTTCAACCGATCTTACGTGGATGATCTGTTTATTATTCATTGTTATGTTCATATATTCTTTATTTTGTGGATCATATCATTTCACATATTAAGTGTACAACAAATTTATCCTCGACTCCTCGTGTTCGAATCCATTTAAATGCCACGTATATCTTTACCCCACACTATTAGCGAAAAAGAGCCGAGGTACTAAGGCCTCGTTTGTTTTGGTGAAGAACATATCCCTAACAAACGATTTTCCTACATTTATTTCTTCATTTTCCCTTGTTTGTTTTGTTGAAAGGTAAAAACAATTTCCTATATCTACAAAATCACTTTTTAAAAAAGGAAAACCATATTCCTTTTTCTAAGAAGGTATGCTACATTACACTTTCCTATTCATTCCTCACATGTATATGTTCTTTCTCTTTTAAACCTATTCTGATTACTGAGCTGAACTGAGCGAGCTGAACTGAACGGAACTGAACTAAACTGAATAGAGGTGAAATGAATTGTTTATGAGAGAAGGAAATTAAGAATTGAACTGAACTGATTGGAGCTAAACTAAACCGAACTGAAATTAAAATAAAGAGAACAAACCCTTATATCCTTCCATTTTTCTTTATCTCCGCAAGCACTCCTATAATCAATCAAATAAACAAAAAGCCTTTTTACAATTATGTTTTCCATTGAAAATTGTTTTCTTTAAAAAATGATGTTTCCTTTAAAAAATATTTCCCCTTAAAACAAATAGAGCCTAACACGTACAATACACAATAATAACTAAAAGTAAAAGGGTTAGTACATTGCCAGTAAAAATTTACCACAACAATGAATGAAGTGGTGATCTCATACTGAGCTTCAAATATGAGCCACATCGGCCCACATGGTTAAGAATATAAGGTGATAAGAAACCCTCCTTATGTAGAAATTATTATGACAACCATGAAAAATTTACACTTTTGATAAAAGTGGACCATGTTAGATAAATGGTCAACATTAATAGTGGGGGTCCGATTGAAATAACCAATGCCAAAACCCAAAAGACGTCAATTATGAACCACTACCTAGCTCAGAGAACGTACGAGGCAAACATACAATAATATTTTAGAATTAAGAATCATAACTGAATATTCTTGCATTTAATTTTTTAGTAATTATGAAACATGACAGATGACAGCCAGCTTAGCTGTTTCTCCAAATTATTGATGTGGTTTTAATGTTTTATGGGAAGATCCAAATATTATTCCAAATTATGTTGGAGAATTTAATTTCTTTGATTATTTTAAGCCATATACAATTATCACTTTTAATTTTTTTTTTTAGGGATCAGGAGTGGGCCCCACCTTAATTTCCTATCACAAGAATATCAAGGGGGTATTACCCACAGGGGAAGGGGGGATATGAGCTTGGTCACTACCACGGGAACTGAAGCTTAGCTCCACTGAGCTATAGGCTTCTTGCTCAATTATCACTTTTAATATATGGACATCTAATGAATACACTTCTTTTATTTTTAGATAACTGACACAGTTAAGTTCAACATACTTCATATATGGGATGATTTACAAAAATATAGCTTTTAAGAAATTTATTTACGATTTTGCATTAGAATGAAACTTATTTACAAAAATATAGTCCACGTAGGCTTGGAGATGCATTTATAAAGGGTAAAACCGCTATTACTCTGAAAAATAAAAATAATAAAAAAAAAAACCTTATCCGAGCCTACGTGGACAATAATTCCGTAATTAAGTTTCATTTCGACCCAAAAGTGTAAATAAGTTTTAAAATAACCATACTTTCGTAAATCATCCTCATATATGTTAATGTAGTAATTTGACCTTAGTGCTTAGGTATATATGATCAAATTTTGGAAAATGATAAACATAGTCCTAAATGTTATGTATAAGAAGCTAAGAAAAGAAAAATTTTGAGGATAAATTAATATTATTACACCCCGTGCTTAATTTTATCATAAATTTTTTTAACTTAATTCTATTTTAAGTTATATATTTAAGGGTAATGCTATATGTAGCCCTAAGGGCTATATATAAGCATTAAAGAGACTCTTAAATATTGTATAAAATTAGGAATTAATGACAAAAACACGCGTAAATCAGTGTAATTAGTGTTTATATTTTTATGATTTTTGAAATTTTTACGATTTTCAAATATAAATTTAATGCTTTTATGTAGCCCTAAGGGCTATGTTAGGGATGAAAATCTTGTCCGAATCCGCCTCTAGTCCGATCCAATCCAAAGAAAAAAAATCCGAACCGAATCCGAGAAATAATTATTCGAATTCGATTCCGTTTAAAAAATCCGACTCCGAGTCAAAGGAAGGTCGGAGTTGGAGTCTACTTACAATCCGACTTATCCTATCTGACTCCGACTTTTTCATGTACTTATATATTTTTTATCATTCAATTTATGAATTTATTGGTCTTTAAAGTTGATTATATATTGGTTGTTATTATTAATTGGGTCAAAATTACTATTAAAGTCAAAGTCGGAGTTGGAGTCGGAGGATTAAAATTTAAGTCGGATCGGAGTCGGATTCTCGGAGACGGATGTTGGAGTCGGAGGCATATAAAAAATCCGACAGCTTGTAGGGTCGGAGTCGGATTTTGTATAATCTGATCCGAATCCGACCCATTGCCATCCCTAGCTATGTATAACATTTTCCTATATTTAAAGCTTATATATAGCCGAGCTACATATATATGATATATCGTTACCCTTAAATTTTGAGTAATTTGTTTTTTTAATGAGTTTTTAAAAAGTCGAGCATGTCATATTTTTTAGTACTATACTACATTCATCATTATCATCAATAATTCTAAAACAGCGAAAAAAGATGGCATATATTAAAAAAAAAATTACTATAATGGTTTCATTATTTTTTTTGAAGAACGTTTTATATTTTTACAATTATACAATATTTTATATCTCACAAATAATACCCTAAACTTGCAGATAATACTTCGTATAAATAGAGGTAATAAATTATTTCCTACGCCCCTTTTTGTCCTTTCATATTGATTTATTATTCGTCTCACAAAAAGGATTAGAAAAAGTACTCCGTTTATGTAATTTGTTCATAGTCAATTGTATTGGTACTCATTAACGTCCTAATAATTGTTGAATTATAAAATTATGAGTCTTAATTAGCATTGAATTGAATAAGACATTGATATAATTGTGATCATGATGATTCACAAGTTCAAAATGATAGCGTATATCATATTGATATAACCTATCAATGCTAAAGAGTAAAGACAAACAACATGTAACATTGTCCTCTTTTTCTGACCATACAAAAATCTGACTAGAGTATTGGCAATGACAAAAATGTAGATTGTGTTGTTTCTTTTGTTTTTGGTTGTTTCAATCTAAATTATAATGACAATGACGAGCTAGCAGGGTTGTGCCTTGTGCGGACGTGGATGTCGTAGTCGTTGCTCGATTGGAAGGGATGAGGATGCAGATGTCGTAGTCGTTGGTCGTCGATCAGATGCGGCTGCAGATGGTCCTGTGCTTGCGGGGCTGGCTGCTGAGCTTGCAATTACGGAGTACAATTTAAGCATGTGGGCGTAACATAAATGAATTTTTAGTATTTTCTCAAAAAAAAAAAAAAAAAAAGAATTTTTAGTACTGTACTATACGTCTATACTACACTGATCAATAATTCTAAAAGAGCATTGCTGGTTACGTTTCTGATTAGTTTGCAACTTTGCATGCATTTACAGATTACAGTAGACAATCATTGTACTCCTTTTCCAAATAATAAGCTTTTACCTAAAAATTTGATTCAAATAAAGGTTTTAATTTATCTTTTACCTAGTTTTTATTTTATTTTCAATCAATCAAACACCAATTTTTTTTTTTAATTTTATTTTCCTAATTCACTTATTTTTATATTTACCTACCAATCAAATCCGAATATCTTATAGAGCTTTTTTTTATTCACGCAAAAGTCCAAAACATGAGCAAACAGTCTCTTTAAAAAAAAAAAACCTGTAAAACTATCCTACAAGATAATCTGTATTGGTATGGACAAAAGAGCTAAAGATTGGTATTGAGTATTGATCCGTCAACCCCTTAAATAATGGGTGATGGACCATTTTACATGGAATCGAATTCAATATTCCATCTATTTTCTTTATGAATACTCAAAACTGGAAAATCAGTCTAAAATGTCTGTGGTTTATGTTACAAAACTATCTTCATTAATTTCATCCTTGAATCTACATACACGGTTTCTAAACTTCTTTCCTCTTTTGGTTTTTAACATTTTGTTTTCTAATTTCCGGTGGTCTGAAGAAACTGAGAAACTGATAGTTAGGTATTCTATAATTCGTCGTTAGCTGGATGTTCTTCAGCTTTGACATTTTTCTTGATAAATGCTCCCAAATCCTTCAGACTCGACTTCGGCTGCAGTTTAATCTAGAATGAGAGAGAATCAGCCAAAAATAGGATCGGGTAAACATTATGGAAATAATGAAATGAAGGTATTCAACGTTTACTGGATTCGATTTATCAGCCGCTGGATAAAACAGTAGAGCTGGGTAGTCAGTGACCTGCCATACATTAACAATGGTCCAACATGTTTATTTCTGTCCAAGTGTACAAAGCTACAATATGAAATAATATGCTTATTGATGCGTATTTCAGTATTACTTGATTTGCTACCTAATTTGTTATATTAGACCAATAATGCACCCCTTTCACACATTCAATTGAATCTTACAGGGTTCACTATTAATGATCAGATGTCATAGAAAACAATCCCTATCAACAAGGTGATTCTACATGTGGAATACTTCTTCCATCCTATATTGTCCAAAATGATCTTTTTCAAACTATCTTTATTTCCTATATTATCTTCACAAATTTTTCTAAGACAAAACTTTCCTTGTTTTCTTCAAAAAGGTTTATTTCCATAATAAAAAAATTAAAAAAAATTGTTCATGAATATTTTTTTTTTTTTTTTTTGTTTACATGGAGAACAGTATTATGCATAGGGAATTTTTTCTTCACATGAAACAATTTTATATAGATTCACACTAATTAGGGCTACATACACGTGTTTTTGTCATGAATTCCTAATTTTATACAATTTTCAAGAGTGTTTTTAATGCTTATAGCCCTAAGGGCTATGTATAGCATTACCCTAAAATTAATACTAATCCTACAATGTTCTACTTTCCTTAATTCCCGTGAAAAATTCACAATAAATTAAACAATATGGACCAAAGGGATATTGCATTGAATATAAATGATTTAAACATTATTTCCATGTTTAAACATTATACCCTTTGTCATATATACAATATTGTTTATTTTCTCAATGTGAATTATTCACGGGAATTAAGGAAAATGAAACATTGCATAATTAGAAATAATTTTTATAAAAACATGGTTCCGTGAATAATATATTGTTCCGCATAAATAAATAATTTATTTAATGTGGACACAATTTTTTTTTAGGTAAAGATAGTTGAGAATCAGAAAAGAATAGAAATAAGATAATTTTGGATCATCCTAAATAAAAAAAAAAAAAAAAAAAAAAAGGTTAGAGGGAGCATTTCTTATAATACCTCAATATTATTACGTAGTAGTTATTTCTAACCAGTGCCCAACTACCTCTTTATGTTTATTAAAATACTGGTATTTACTCACACTCAATTAGTCACTTATAGCATTGATAAGTGGTAATGAAATTGATGGATTGAGCCGGTTGCTAGTGCAAAGGCAAGTCATGTCTCTGTCGATAAATTTACATAAAAGATCCTTCTAAATGTCCATAGCCATGGACTGTCATATTCCTTTGCTAAGTATTGTTTCATTACCATTTACATCTTTTAGAGCATGCTTTGACATTGGAGTAATGAAGACAAGATAAAGATGAAGATGGTTTTAGACTTTTAGGTGGTGGTAAAAATGATGATGTAGTATGCTAACCTAAAAGGGAAGGATTGGTGGGTAGCTACAACCCTCAAAAGTAGGGTAATAATACCCCCCATTCTCCTCCTCATACAAACCACTACCTCCTCCTATCACCCTCCACCTCCATCCACTCTCATTCTCCTTGATATTTATCTACAACCCTTTTAAAATATTACCCTCATTCACAGCATGCTCTAAGTGATAATAAGTGGTTATGAAAAAGAAAGACTACAGGAAAGCCCTTACTATGGAGTATGGACATTGACACAAATCATTATCTGAGCAAAAGCCCACCTATTTCATTACAATTTCTCTATCTAACCTTTTATCAAATGAGTAGTGCAAAGTGGCTCAAGGATTCTTATTCCATACAACATAGCAGCAATGTTTGCAAGCAATCTAAAAGTCTACAGCTCTTCCCCAGCCCAATCACTTTAAAATATAGACATAACACTACAGGAATAAAGTCCCATTATATACTTCGTATATAGATATGCCTCAAAAGTCAAAATATATTGAACAATAAAGGGATGAGATATAATATAAGAACAAAAGAGATACATAAGCACAAAAGGCCTAAGCAGATGAACAAACCTATAAAATACCATAAAGTTAAGTAATAACTGACCAAAAAGGCAGCTTATACATCATCAATGATGATGTCAGTAAGCTATTGAACTAGAAAATGGATCCAAAACAACTACATTCTTACAAAATTAGTTTAACACTACATAATAAATACCCCCTCCATTTCAAATTACTAGTTACACTTTTATTAAAAGGAAATTTTGCATTAAACCACCTTTTATAACCATTTTTTTTCTGATTTCTTATTTTTTTCTGGGTATATTCATAATAAATACCCCTCGATTTTCATTTTTTTTTCTGATTTCAATTTTTTTTTTCGATTACAATTTTTTTTGTTTTCTGGGTATTTTGAATACTGGGTTTTTTTCGATTTTAATTTTTTTTTTCGATTTCTTATTTTTTTCTGGGTATATTCGAATTTTTCATATTTATTTTTTGGGTTTTTTTTAATCGAATTTAAATTTATTTATTTTCTGGGTTTTTTTTAATCGAATTTAATTTTATTTATTTTCTGGGTTTAATTCTTTTTTAACTGATAGATGTTCTGGGTTTTTTTTTCTTTTCAACTAATTTTCTTTTTTTTTTTTCGATTTTCTGGAATTTTTTTAATTTTTTTCGCAGCTTAATTAAATCATTTTAATCGATTTATTTTGGTTGTTTTAATTGGTACAGGTACATGGATTTAGATCTTAAATTGAAGAATCAAGATGCAAGTATATTGATTTAGATGTTGTATGGGTTTTTTTTATTGTGAAGTTGTAAATTTTTATTTTGATTTATATTGTAATTTTTTTTATATGTTGTAATTTTTTTTTTTTTGATTTATATGTTGTAATTTTTTTATTGATCTATATTGTATTTTTTTTATTATATATATATTGAAAAAATTTGATTATATTGATTGTGATGTGCCATTTATATTTTGTGTTCTCATTCAATTTTAGTTTATTTAATTTTTAAGTTTAAAAAAAAATTAATTTTTTGACACTTTTGGCACCGGTTAATCGGTGCCAAAAGTGGTGAATTAATTTTTTTTTGTAATTTTAATTTCAAGTTTTGGCACCGGTTTGAACCACTTTTTGACACCCCCCACATTGGCACCGGTTCAAACCTGTGCCTTAGGCCGGGTTTGAACCGGTGCCAAATTCATTTTTTCACGTAGTGTATGTCAATTTTTTTTTTCAATAGATCTCTAGCTAATTTGATTTTGTTTACCCAAGTAATAATTATCCCTATGTTTCATTTAATTTTTAATCTAAAATTTTAGCTCTATACATACATTATTGTCCACATCATTGGATTTTCTTAGGTTCAATAACATGATTTTTACATATGAAAACAATTAAAATTAAAAACTACAAAATAGATTTCATTATCTACCAAAAAAAAAAGGATTCATTTTAATTAGAGAGTATTTTAATTACGGAGTATATGATATATACTTGTACTAGAGTACTAGACATGGTATCAAGTTCACACCAATTCCAAGATTGACTCAACACTTAGCTTAATTATTAAATTGGTCTTAACTAGTTTAAAGTCAAATCACAAACAATAAACATGGTATTTGAATGGGATTTGTAACCGGGTCATAGAATTTGGGTTGTATATTCGGTCTAACTCCCTTTTACTTTAATTTTTTTGGCTGGTATGACTTATCATCATAATTGGCCTACATCATATTCATACATATTCATATTAGTAGCTTTTAGGTGAAAGAGATTCGGTTTGTTCAAATAAAGCTTAAATCCTTATGAAATAAAGGTTCTTCATTTTGAATTTTACAAAAAGCATAGGTAAAGGCTAAAGGGAGAGCACACTATAATGTATATACTCAAATCTCATTGGAAGAAACTTGAAAAAAAAAAGATGCTTAAAGATTAAAGATCATCTGTTGCTCGCTTTATAAAAGTTTATCTAATAAGAATATTATGATTTAATGGCTGCTTTTAGTAATCTGATGAATGATACAGCTTACTTGTTGGACCATTTGTAGAAGGCCCATTAGCCCATAATCTCTAGACTAGCCTTGGACGGACTCGCTATGGATATAGAGCTGTCAAATCAGATGTACAAATCAGACTTGATTTAAATTTGGTCAAGACATATTAGATTTGGCTTATTTTAAGTCAATGAATTCTTGCAAATCAAATATGAAGTATGAGTTAAGTTCTATAATCTATATGGATCATTCTTGGGTTGGATAGCACTAGAATTTGGATCGTCAAATTATATATGATGCTCTCTTCATGTCCGAATATACAAGGGTGATTGAAAACTCGAGCAGCTCAATTCTTGCCCTTTAACGGGTGCAATACACCGTTTAATCCCTTTCCTTGACCCTTCAATAATCTCATTCTTAACTATGTTATATAGACACAAATGCGCTTGAATGAAGATGATGACGGACAATTGACAGCTTAATTGCGATCAAAAGGACGAGCTATCCCATCCCCATGAGAATCTCGCTTTTTTTTTTTTTTTTTTTTTTGCAAAAAACCACCTTATAAAAAAATTTTCGCAAAAACACACCTAAATCTAATTTTTTTTGCAAGGCCACACCTTTGGGTCGGAAAATAAACTTTGACCTTGTATTCCGGGGTTGACCCGACCACGCGCCTCCCTCGTGACACCCTAAAACCAATAACCCTCCATTTTCCCCAGCCACCCACTACTAACCCTCTTCCAGTGGCCGGCGACCACCTCCCTCCTTCGTCGCCGGCGGCCGTATCCCCTCCCTTTCCTCGTTCCCGTCCTTAAACTCAACCCTCAAGCCCTAAATCCAACTCCCAAACCCATTCTTGTCCTTCGTGAAGTGCAATATCCATGGCAGTTGACGAACGACGGAGTTTAATTCTGGGTCAATAAATCGAACGACGGCGCTATAGGTAGAAGAGGAGAGAGAATTCGTGGGGGACGCTTTAGGAAAGTGAGTGGTGGTGGATCTCGGGGTTCGGGTGGTGAGAGTGAAGGAAGTGATGGTGGTTAGGTGGAAGAGGAGGAGAGAGAATTCGTGGGTTGGGGGAAAGGGAAAGGGAAGGGCACAAGATCGCCGGCGCCGGGGTAGGGAGGTGGTCGTCGGCGCCGACAACTAGTAGGGGTTGGCAGTGGGTGGGGGAAATTGGTTGGCTGGGTTTTTGGTTGGCCGTGGAAAGTGGTTGGCAGCCGGAAAATTGGTTAGTGGTTTAAGGGCGTCACGTGCAAGGCACGTGGTTGGGTCAACCCCTGAATACAAGGTCAAAGTCTGTTTTCCGGCCAAAGGTGTGGCCTTGCAAAAAAAATTTAGATTAAGGTGTTTTTGCAAAAAAAAATTTATAAGGTGGTTTCCCGCAAAAATATAGTTATAAAAGGTGGTTTAATGTAAAATTTCATTATTAAAATAAATGATCACTTTACCTTTTTCCATTTTGAGACAAGCGCCCCATACCTTTTTTTAATCATTTCCTTACTCATTCAATACATATCATAGCTCTTTTTGGTCCACTACTTGTTACTATATTCTTTACTACTCCTTCCGTCCTATAATATAGTTCTTGTTTGTGTTTTTTCACGAAATTTAAGAAATAGGAGGAAAAAGTAGATGAAGTACATTAATAAAAGTGAAAAGTACAATTATAGACAAAAGTTAGAGAGAGAAAGTGGAAAAAAGTACAAGGCATGTGCAAAAATCAAGGGTAATTTAGGAATTACAATGAAAAAAGTTAAAAAAAAGTTAGGGTATAATGGTCTTTACATACTATCCAAAAATAAAAACAGGAACAACATTTTGGATCTCCAAAATAGGAAAACAGGAACTATGTTATGGGACAGAGGGAGTATTGTTTCCTTACAAGTTTCCATTGAATTGTTACCATTGATTTAAAATGGGGAGAGTAATTGGCAGAATATTTCAGGTGTGGAGCTTATTTATTTATTTATTTTTTTGAAAGAGGAAGCTGGTTTATTAGTACTTGACAATTGTTTGGCACCCTCAACCGAAAATTACTGCGCACAGCAATAATAACACATTCAATTAGGTTAACAACTTTGAACTACCATTCTTATGAGAGAATAATAATGCTAGCTCTGAGGACAAGCATCCTATATGAAACAGAATAGTAAGTGCTAGCTATGGGAACAAGCATAAATTCTTCTTAGAATACAAGATGTCGATAACACACATCAGTCATGTGAGACATACATGAAAATGCTTCAAAATCAAACTGGAGTATTACAAAACTCAATTTCTACTCATCACCTAAATCATGATAGGCTGAGAGAGAGAGAGACCAAAATGCCAAATGCTTATTTTCACTATTCTGTTATCCCACTGTCCCCGTGTTTTCCTTTTTTATTTTTTATTTTGCATTTTTTAATAACCTACACTATTGAAAAATTAACCCGACACTGTTTTCTGGAAATCATTTTCAAATCTTTGTTTTATAAAAGTATAAAACTGCCACACAGATTATTGTCTCAGAATGAAGTTACGCTAATACCAAAGGAATTCAAGTACGTCTGTTACAGGAAAAATGAGGTATAAATTTTCTCCATTATCATACAGACCTGTACAGAACATAGCATATTCCTAAAATTCATGCTACTGACCTGAAGTTTTGGATGCTCATTTACAGAAGCATCTATCTTTGCAAATAACAGATTTTTCAATCCTTTGAAATGTTTCGCCAACTTCTCTACTTGCTTGCTTGCAGCATCACAAGTCATGCACCATGGTGTGTAGACCTTAATGATTTAAAAGAACATCAAAACAAATAAATTAAAGAAAAGAAAAAAACAATCATCTGAGCAGAACCAAAATATTTTCAAGTTGACTATTATTCACAGATTTATCAACATTTGTTATATTATTCAAAAGATGTTAAAAACAGAGAAGGGAAAAGACATCAGCCTACAGAAAGTAAAATCGAAACTGGAAGTGCATGATGAATATATAAAATAAAATTGGAAATTGGAGGATAGACGGTGAGAAGAAGACACTGATGCCAAAAGATAAATGAAAAGAAAATAAGAAAGCCTATAGAATGCTACAGTACAACTCTCAGTTCGTAAACATGTTATTTTGTGCTACAGAAAACATCAAAATTTTAAAATTCTCCATGTGACACACAGTACAGAATGCATATAGTGAAAGGAGAGGGTAAAGAGAAGAAACAAAATGAAGGACATAAAATCGCAGGGGCACAGATGGTAGGAGCACTAACCTCAAGAAAAACATTCTTGGAACTACTCAAAACCAGGTCATCAAATGTCTTTCCCACTACAACGTGGACGCTAGCATTTTCCTGTAATTATCAATCACAACTTGTAAATAAAGCAGCCAATAGATAATCTGTTTTCCTATGAATTACTAGGGGTTTCAACAAGAAAGATTCACCATTCAAGCATCTCTAGAAAATTTTCAAATTAATAAGATCTATTGATCCAACTTTGTTAAAAAAAGGCTTTACTAACAACATTCGAAGTACACAAGTTAGATACTAAATATAACACCATAATTGACGATTCTAAAAAATAGCGGGATCACTGTGAGAATAATTGCAACTATCCAAGTATTGACTTTAGTTGAATGTTGCAATAATAATATGTCAATAGTGCATCCAAACAATTAAGATCCTTTTCTTCTCAAATATAATAAAGAGAGTGTTCTCAAATGAAGTAATTCATGTAGCATGATAAACAAATTGTCCTTCTCGAACAACCTCTAACAGGGTAAATTAACTATACATCACAGATTTGACCATCCTTAGTAGTCAGAATATAACAAAAATGTAAAGAGCTGAAACTACCAAAATAAAAAGGATGTGGAAAAACTCACATTATCAGGTATAGTCTGTGACTTATAATACATTGGAACAGTCCCTTCCAATAGTCCAGAGCAGAAATCCTACATCATGCCAGAAAAGAAATTAAATGCCAATCTACACAAATTATTTATGGAGTAAATACTTATAGCAAACAATGATTATACTTACATCTAGTTTGCTTGGAGTAGGTTCTGATTCCAACAGATACTTTGTGCTAATCTTACTATCAAAAGCAGCAACCTATAAGTAACAAAGGTCAGTTATGCTCAAGTAAGAATGGCATAATCAGGTAAACAATAGACAAGGAAATGCGTATCTAACTTGAGAATAAGTCACAACGAACAAACAACATGAAACTTACAACAGTCTTCTGAGAATCTTCCAGACCAAGCAGAGTCAGGAAAGGTTTTGCTAGGTTCTCCTCGGTAATGTCCACATATATGAACATTATCTGCACCAATTAAGTCTAACGAATTAACTCTATTGTTTAAAATTAAGAGGTTAAGGATGACAGAGAAATTGTTACCATTGACTTAAATTTCTTAGCAACTTCTTGAAGAGACACATGAAGGGACTTAAACTCGTCAGACTCTGCAAACACATAAACCTGCAATTCATTTTTACTAGGCATTAGAGACTTGCTTGATATAGGGTCTGATAATTATGTGCAGAGTTCGATAACACCAAATTAACAAGATACAAATGTCTGAATTTGGGAAACTAACTGGAACAAATGAAGCTAAGCAGAATATGGGCAATCTTAAAAGTTACTCCACATTGGACTGGGAGGTAAGGGGGAAGAAACTTTCCAGCAATTAAAAGTTATCAAGACTCATGGTATGAAAGTAGGCATCCACTGAAAGATATATTAAAGGATAACAAACTTAAAACTTTGAGCAAAATTTAGCAAAAAGATATACTGGTAGATATCCATCAAAATGAAATGGGCTTGGGGTAGAGTTTTAGTAAAGAAAAAAAAAACGGTCATCATTGTCAATTCGACATTCAAGATATAGTGAAAGACAAATCAAAACATGACCCTGCCCACCCTAGCTTCACTTCATTACGAACAAAGAGCAAGTGAGAAGAAAAAAGTTAGGGAACAGTTTGGTTAATATGTCTAACTCAACCCTTCCCCCCTCCCTTAATTCTCTCCCCTTTGCCATACTGGATGACAATGTATCTCCCAAGAATGAGGTGATGACATGCATATCCTAGGATGTTGCAAAGAGTTATTAGTGGTAATTTAATGACAAACACATCCAAAGTGACCAAAAAGGGCTCCACGAGTCAGCTGTGAAGTTTTGCAGTTTTTCCAACAAAATTTCAGTAAACATACATCGGATTGCTACTGCATAATTTGAGACCACAAACTATTACAAAGTGTCATCAACCGGAAATCTAGGCTTAGGATTGACAGCTTTCAAGCAATCTAAAAAATACTTCATATGATGGTGAATGAATAGATGTCAAGTCTTAACCCCAAAACTGTTCAGAATAGAGGCAGGCATAAAGTAGAATGAGGGCAGCACTTAGAGAGCTCCCTCTTAATTCAAATATGCCCATGGGAGGCATGAGAAATGTGGTTTATGCACATGTAGGGCTAGCGGATAAAAATGAATCAAATACCCCCAGAACCTGTGAGTCTGTGACAACAGATGCAAGGATATTTTCCTCCCTGGGCTGTCAAATTAAAATAGAATGCAAATGTAACTGTATATATTGATCACGCTTATCTTATATTCATTAAGTTGCAATTGCATATGGTTAAAGTAGCCCTTACAGAATTTTTTTAAATTTGTTTTAAGCTCAATTAAAGCATTTTGAACTCTTGAAGAAAGATAAACTTAATAGGAGTATAAAAAAAAAATCACACCTGCAGTGCAAAATGACCTTAGTCAAGCGCCTTTTTGCGTGAGGCATCAGAATTCTTGTCACTTTTTACAAAGTGTACCTCACAACAAAGAGGCGTGCCTAAGAATCATTTTATACATTGGAATTGATGAAGAAATATTAACCTCTCTTGTGAAGTTGCCTCAGCAAGTCAGTAGGATCATTTTTTATCTTATATTTTACAGGAAGTTTTAAAGGTTTAGCTGTTTAGGTATTGCTGAAATTTTTAGGTGAAAAGCATTTGAACCTTAGCTTCTAGCTTGGCACCTTAGCGCATCAGATGGATTCATGTACTCATTTTTCCTTTAGTTAAAGAAAAATTAAAAATCCTTCCTGAACTGAACATGCTTCCAGCAAGAATCAAACTACAATAACTCCTTAATAGGTTTCACGCTTGAAAAATTTTTATGGATGGAAAAGGACTCAGCAAGTGAACTAGGTTGTAGCATTCCTTCTTGAGTTCCTCTTACTTCCAATAAGATGATTCAAGAATAGAAGGAATAGGAATAGGAAGATGAGTAATTCTAAACTTAATATTTCTTGCCTTTGAAGAAGGCTTACAGAAACCTCACTTCTTAAGTTAAAAAAAAAAAAAAAAAAAAAAAAAAAAAAAAAAAAAAAAAACAAACAAACAAACAAACAAAAAACAAAAACATAGTGATCACACTGTTGCAACTGTATACATGATTTTCTTAACTCTGAGAACAATGGATGCCAATTGAAATTTCAGTATGAACACATATGAAAGCAGAAGATGCAATACGACAAGCATGGTAAACATAAAATAAAAGTGTAAGAAACCTGGTATTTAATTTTGCTTGAGTAGACTTTAACAGAATTCAACTCAGTTAGAGTTGTAATTAATGGAAACTTGTTGTGTTCCAAAAACTGCAATATATTGTCCATCTCTAGGGGCTCTTCTGCAAAAGCAAACATTATTACCTACATCAGAATGATAGTAGTACTGAAGAGAAAGGTAAAAGAAAAAAAAAAAAAAGAGAGAGAGAGAGAGATTGGACAGGACTTTGGCAAGCAATTGCCTAAAAATGATCAAGATCAAATAAAATAAGGTGCCATTACTGATTTAAGATGTTATAATTTTCTTTATAACCTACTGAATTGAGATATAGACAGATATGTTAAGATAAAAAATTAATGACAAAAGGCAGTACTTACCAAATCTAGTATATCTTTCTGGTTCACTCTTGACTAGACCAATAAAAGGTTTTGTGATCTTGGTATCAGGGAAAAGAATTTTTGCAACCTCATTGGAGTTAGTTTCAACAAACTGAATTTCATTGTCCGAAATTGCGGCTTTGATATATTCTTCATACTGAGGACCCTGTAAATTGTAAAATATTTCACACAGATAAATTAACAGCTGCAAGAGGATTTGTGTAGAGGACTAGAGGGGAAGCACCCAAAAAAAAAAGTTAACACAAAAAATTTAAGGCAAAAATTGTCAATATGACATGCATAACAGAAAGATTGAGTAGTTAAAACTTTGAACCAGGTAAGCTTCTCCATCTCTCAAGTTTGTAAAACAGCTAAAAAAAAAAAAAAAAAAAAAAAAACCTTATGCAAACAAGTCATGGCAAAACCCTTCACATGAATGGCTGAATGCAGCAGCCATAAAACGCTTGGATTTATAGTCATTGCAATTGTCAACCTTTTCCTAAATTGGAATCAATCTCATACCAAACAGCCAACACTGAACAAACATAATTAATTTTATAACTCGAGACAACTTGCCTTTTGACCTCGGCAAGTAATTAAGAAGCACAATCGAACATACCCTTATTTTATGGTCAAAGATCAGTCAAACCAAAAGATCAAACCAACCTAGGAAGATCTAGATTTAATCACCTTATTAAATATGATCAGGAATAAAGCGTTAAACAACAGAATTTTTAGTAGAGCAACAACTTAACATACATTAATGATAAAACATAGATCAAATGGCTGCATTGGGTAAATCAGGTGCAATTTTATATCATCTAAGTTCATAGGTAAAAGAACAGAAGTAAAACAAAAACTTCATTGTAGATAATTAAAGAAGTGGTGAATTCTTTATAAGTGACTTTCCAAAGTCAAGATCTTATGTGTATATCAACATTGTCGACCTTGTGTGTTTTCAAAATCATTAAAGCAGACAATTCTTATGTATTTGAAGATTAGGTGTTAACATAAATTATGAGATCAATCTAATATTAAGGGTCTTATGGAAAACATAATTCAATGTTCAACAAATCTCCCATCCAGCCACACTAAGAAGCCCTGAACATATCTCAAGGACTCAACCCATGTGCCATGTTTTGAACCATACCGCACGGTGACTTCTCTCATAATCTCAATAACACCCTTCAATGTTGTCTAGATCTTATGGACATCCTTAGACTTGATGACTCCAACAACATCCATACAAATGGTAGTTCCAACCTTGAGTACGCTTACATAAATACGAGTACTCACATTTTTAGGCTCACACCAATTTGCACACCAATAACAATGAGTCTATGTCTCTATGAGCACTTATTTGAAAGACTCCACACACCTAAACCAATAGTCATTAGGCAAATGAAACGAAGTGTTCACCTAGATCTTCTAATACAACTAGGATATCCATCACCATCCTAATTCCGATTTACAAGTGAATAGAGGGAAATCAACCAGGGCACTTACGAAACTTATCCCAAGTTGGACTTCACAACATATTGGTTTCATATAGAGCTTGTATATAAGCATTTTGTCACAATCCTTGACAAAGTTATTGGAATCAAAAGTTGCGCTATTTAACACATGGTAATTGGACACCCACCCTCTTAGCATAAGGTGCTCATTGCTCAACAGGTTGAGATTTGGAGCTAACTTTAAGTCTTTATTAAGATATCATGCTTCTTTCATTTGTCATTGTAATGGACTAATGGTCTGATGGATAACACTCATTGACTCATTAAAACATCTTAGAGAAGTAACGCCAATGTGGCAATAGTCAATGTGGGTCTCTTGTATGTTGTATGTTCCCAATTGGAAGTGTGGAGCTCCACAAAAATGCCTATGCACCCAACAACAATAAGAAAAAAGAGCAAAACACTGCTACTTAATATATATTCTAAAGATTTGAGATCAGGAGAATTTTCTTATTCAAAACATTTTTTGGGAGAAACAAATACAACATAACCAGAACAAGAATCTAACGCAATCCATATAAAAACAAAAGTAGGTAGCTTTGTCATAGAAACATCTCCAAAAATAATACTGTATTGCTCTAACGATCCAATGCAAGGCCATAATTCCGAAATCATCCATCCTATTCACTATAGAGTAGTCCTTATTTATCAGAACATATTAATCATCCAATCAAATCTACTATAATTCATCAGATCACACTACAGTAACTCGCAGTCTCGCACCACATAACACAATATTGATGCAAAATTACTGACTTCCATGTCAACCAACTGCAGTAAGCCCAAGATAAACAATACCAACGCACAAAAACTAAGAAAAACAAATTATGGATAACACATATTCGCCAATGCTGATGATAATACATCAAAATTCTCCGAATCAAGACTAAAACTACATAATTGGAGAAATTACAGAACAGAAAATACCTCAAAATTCTCAAACAGCCCAACAACATACATACTGTATTTCTTAGCAAATGCCTCAGCTTCAGCAACTGAATTCAATCTAACAACAGGCTCACCCGTCTTCTTCCTTGCCCAAATCATTATCTCCTCCCTAATCAAAAACCCCATCTCAAAAATTTCAGGAAAAATTCCAAATTAATAATACCCTTTAAATTCAAGTTTAACAAAAATTAAAATTAGAATCTTACGCAGAAAATCCACCAGTATACTGCTGAGAAGTGCCATTGATGAAAAGAAGCAGAGTAGGGTAACCCTTAATACCCAAAGACGACGCCGTTTTAGGGTACCTTTCAGCATCAAGCTTAGCCATCAAAAGGGGGGAACCCAAATCATTCAAAAAATTAGCAGATTCAGCAAATTGGGGCATTAATTCAGCACTTCTAGGGCACCAAGGGGTATAACCCAAAAGAAGAACAAACTCATTTTGGTCAATAACTTTCTGGGTATTATCATTATTCAATTCTACCACAATTCTCTGAGCTTTGCTCAATACTCTAGCTTCTGAAGATGGTGATGATGAACCATGGTCGATTTCATCTTGTTCGTCGAGTGCTAGGAGTTCTTCGAACTCCGATATGTCGTCGCCTTCGTCATCGGCAGAGGAGGTGGGGTTGTCGGCGGAGGAAGAAGAGAGAAGGGGGGTTAAGAGGAGAAGGAGAAGGAGGGAGAGAAATGGAGGGGTTTGGACATGGCGGATTTAGGAGAGAGAAAATGGGTGAAAATGTGTATGAGAAATGGAGTGAGTGTGAGTGAGATGCAGAAAGTGATGGCGAAATGGTTTGCGTTGATCGCGGAACTGGAAATGGGAACGATGGAGATTGATGGGGGAAGAGAGAACTTTTACATAATTTTGACTAGAATAAGGGTTTGACTTTTTTTTAACAAGGTGTGTTCAATTTACCTTTGAAAAAAATATTCAATGCGTAGATGACGTATTGACCTATTCCTATTCTGCCCAAAATAATCCAATTAAGCCTGTGAATTTTATGTCATGGTGACTCTTGATATCGTATAAATTGACTAACTTAACCAAAAACTTAAATTTATGATCGAAGCCTATGATCGATATATTTATTTTATCAACTTTAACTATATTTTACTTCGTACAATACTTTTAGCTTTTTGGGTTTATGATATAACATATCAAAACCAATTTAGGGGGGCAATAAAAGGTAAAATTCATGGTTAATCAAATCAAATAGGGCAAGTTCAAGGGCAATGAACTATTATTGTGATGAGGTATGATCTGATAGAAATTCTGTTAGGATTTCAAAAGACAACTAGGTTAGTTCATTGCGTGGCTTGGTTTTAGCATTAAGAATTTTGCACATTTAATTTGTTTGTAATATAAATAATTTACGTTAAGCATAATAGATTGAGATTATTCTCTATGGATAATTTGTGCTAATTAAAATGAAAAACATGATATTCTATTCTATTTACATGTTATACTATGTACTTTATAATGTAGCTAAGGGCCTATTCTCCTCAACCTATTTTCAGTTCCTTTCCTTTCATTTCAGTTCAGTTCATTTCAGCTCCAATCAGTTTAGTTCAGTTCATACTTTCCTTCTCACATAAAATATTCAGTACAGTTCGGTTCAGCTCCAATCAGTTCAATTCAGTTCAACTCAATTCAATAAATGTAAACATGCCCTAAGTACTATGTAGTTAAGTAAAAGATGAGACAAATTTGAAGTGATTAACAATCAATTTTTATTTTTCTTGATTGCGTAGGAAATTGTAGAGTGTAACTAGTTAGTTTAATCACTATTAAAATCTAAAAATTTTATGAAAATTCGAAAATGTACAATCTATCCACCTTTTTCGAGTCTTTCTTTTGAAAGCAAAGAAAAAAAATGTCACTAACAGATTTGGCGGAAAATATTTATATGAGAATTGATTGGAAGCCAATACATGGACAACAATGATGTCAGTGGTTATTACATTCGAAGATTCAATGTTAACTTAATAAAAGCCTACACCTAAGACCTTAGGAAAATAATCTAAGGTCTTAGGAAAATAATCTAATAAGTTAACCAACAACTGATGCAACCTGGTTTGATATAATTGTCTGTCTTTAAAAAAAATTATTGGGTGTATATGCATAATAATTGATAAGTTTAGAAATATGTACAAGTGATTGTCGAGTTTCATATAAGCTCTCATAAATGAAAATCAAATGAACCTAGCACATTCGAACAATTTTTTTTTATAAACTTGTTTGAACTTATAAACTTTTTATGAAATTAATTTTTCTAAACTTAATTGAAAAGGCTAGGTTGGCATAAACCGAGCATAATTATTAGGTTGATGAAAAAATCTTATTAGAAGAGAATTCTCTAGTATTGATAATGTATAAAATATATTCCCGAGTCTCAAATTCTCAATCATAAGCTTAAGTTTTTGTTTGAATTGGTTCAATAACATGCTATTGGAGCCAGCGTGACACAAAGGTCACTGGTTCAAATTTCACCTTTCAAAGTGAAATATTTCGCGTAAAATACGCGGAGGCCCATGCTGCATTCACACTTCCAGCCCAAAGGACTCTCATGTGAGGGGAGTGATAGAGTATAAAACATATTTTTGGGTCTCAACCATCAGTTTAAGCTTTTGATTAAATTGGTCCATTAACAAGTACTTTATATAATGTAGCATGTTAAATTGTTGATATTTCTAGATTAATCCTGTGCGATGCATGATTTTAACATAAGAATTGAATTATAGAATTTTTAACACGTAATGAAAGAAAATAACTTCCTCATTTTTCCTAACTAATTTCTAATTAAAATATGAATATACAATTCTCAAAAGTGCATAATTTTCATATTTAATTAAGAAATTTCAATTAAATAATATTACTCCGTATTAACTATGGTTAACAACTCGTAAATAACCAAATATCATAACATGTGTAGAAACCAAAATTTAAAATTTAAAAATTCAAATGGAATATATTTTCCAAGCTATGTTAAATAGGGTAGTTTAAAATTAAAAAAATATATATAACATCATAATTAAACAAAAAATGACACATCGTATATAGATATATATATATAGATATGTTTTCAAAATATATATATATATATATATATATATATATATATATATAGATATAGATTGTGTTTTATTCTCTTAATAAGATAAGTTTTGAAAATTTTGGTCATGTAACTGATCTAAAATGTCGAATGAATCCACATCCAAAAAGTTTCACCTTATCGAGGTTTCGTTTCTTGCATATCCTCTTGGTGATCAAATGGGACCATCATATTGTTTTTTACTAGAGTGTACCCGTGAAAAATGCACGGGATATATATCACATAGGCCATGTTTGGTAATTGGCTTTTTAATGGCTTTTTGGTTAGCTTTTGGCTTTTGGTTTTTTTAGGTGGTCAAACAGCCAAAAAATGTGTTTGGTAATTGGTTTTTTAGTCAGCGAAAAAGCTAGCTTTTAAGCCAAAATGAAAAAGTTGTTTTGAGTAGCTTTTTTATTGGCTTTTGGCTTGTTGACCCATAAGTTATCTAATAAACAGCCAACAACTAACAATTAATTTACCAAACACTTTTATAAACAACCAGCTTAACACAGCCAATTTCAAAAGCCATTATAAACAGTCAAACATTTCCCATTGGTAGAATGTTTTTTTTAAAGGAAAATTGTGGAACTTATGCTAGCGTGTTTTCTGTGCGCCGCAACACTGTAGGGTTACTGGTAGGAAAAATGGAGTAACCTGTATTATATTGAAATCGTAAACCCTTATTATACTTTTTGAATAACCTTGAAATAACAAAGTAACCCCTAAAACACCGACAGCATAACATGATAACACCTATATTATTAACTAAGTAAGCTATATATTTGTAACGGGTTAACCATTATAACACTAACCGAGTAATTTCATTAAGTGGGCAGCTAAAAGTTAGTGAACTTATGAGATGCTATATTATTTTTTTTAAAAAAATAAAAATGCCTATAATTTTAAGATTGAAGTTTTCAAGAATTGGGATAATACAAAATTAAAAAATGAAACATGCAATTATGATATAAATTCCTTCCAATATGTGTTATAAAATTAGTGTGTATATTTGTAATATTAAGTAAAGTGGGTAGTTCCCTCAAAAATTTTAAAGTAAAGTGGGTAGTTTATATATTAATTTTTTTTATAAGATGAAAAAACATAATAAATATACTTATAGTTGAATGTTGTTAAAAAATTGTGCAGTTATGTATGGAAATATATATTGTATAGTAAAATAGTAAAAGTGAAAGTATTATTTATTTATTTTATCTAAAATTTAGAAAAGTGGAAGTTATTGACAACCAAAAAAAAAAAAAAATTGTAGGATTGGGGTTTTGGAGTGATGTGGTTAAATGTTGGAATTATATATTAGATGAGTCTAATGACCTGAGAACGAGGGATAGCTCAAGTGGTTAGAGCTTCCCTCCCGGTCCCAGGTGATCCTAGGATCGATTCTCATCACCCGCCCTTGTGGCTCTCTAAACATAAAAAAAAAAAAAAAATCATTTTGCCTTTCTTACAACGCTCAACATTTGTCCTTCTCGAATGGTCTAGTGAAATTTACCAAAATTCTAATATACTACTCGTAGTATGTAATTTTTAAGATAGGCTTTAATGTTCATAGTGGAATTTAATCTAAACCTTTATCAATTGGCCAAATTTTAATTGTACTTTTGTCACATGACAATCAAGTTCTAGAGTTAATTATTAGTGAGAAATTTCTAATGATTAAGTGGGATTAATTAAAGGGATCCCTTAATTAAATCCCATAAGATAGTTATAGTTAGGTAAAAATAAACCAAGAAGGGTCATTGTCAGCTGAGATGTTTATGAAATAATTAATGAAAACATTTATAGTTCTTATGATTTCATGTGCTCATGTGCCTAATTCGATCGTGTTCACACATCCCTTTTTTTATTTTAATTTTTGTGTTGTGTAAATGTCTAAGAAACGTTTCCTACAATCCTACATAGGTTTAGTTGGCATCTCTAGTTCTCTACTGCTGTATTGTACTTGTATCAAGTATTGATCGAGCCAAACTAATGAACTATGCATAAACATGAAACATGAAATTAATTACAACTTTCCCACCATTGGAAATGTAACCATGTTAAATTTCGAAACAATATTAAATGGGCCTGCATAATTAGAACAAGGAGGAGGAGAATTTGGTCTACAAACAAGACTTAAACTAACTCTCCTCTTTTTCCAATGTGGGATAATCACAAGTGGGTTATAATGGATTTCAACAGAACCCTCTAGTATAACTTCGTTCTATGTTATAATTAAGGGCATGTTCACAAAATTAGGAACTGAGCTGAACTGAACTGATTGGAACTGAACCTGAACAGAACTGATTAGAGCTGAACTGAACTGAACTAAAATTCAGTAAATGTGAATAGGCCCTAAGAGGTAACAGTAACATTGGTTCAATTCTCATATACCATAATGATAATTTTTCTTATCATCCGAAACAATGAGATACTATTTTTCTTTTCCTAAACAGTAGCCTAATTTTTTTTCCCTTGTCAATATTACTATTGATGGAGTGCATGAATCAATTCCGAGCTTCAAACATACATTAGCTTAAACTTTTGGCTCATCTCTGCTGGTCCTTTAATATGGTATAAACGTCAATGTAACACAAACGTTACAGGTACAAACTTCATCTACTTTCCATTTTTCGAGTAGTGATAGACCACTACCAGGTATGGGCTCGTTGGGTCCATACCAGGGGCAAAAATGTAATTTCACGTAAAATTTATCTATGTTGTAAAAAAGCAGTCTCTCTCCTCTCAATAACACTATATAAATTATGAATAACAGTATAAAAACCAAGAATAACAGTATACAAATCAATAGTAACATTATAGAAATTAATAATAACTGAGCACCGATAAAAACTACCGGCGTCAATTTCGATCGAATTCAGCGATTTCCAGCATAGAACTCACCGTTTTTTATGGCTAGAGCCATAAGTTTGTGTTTCTTGTTTTTGGGTTATGTTTTTTTGGGTGGTTTTCGGTGATTTTTAATGAAGGTAGTTGCGTGTTTTTGGATTTCGACCAAGGTAGTAGCTGGTGGGGTGGGCTTCTTGTTGTCGGAGGTGAAGATGTGGTGGACGGAGGTTTGGCCGGCAATGGGAGCTATCCATGGAGGTGGAGAAAAAGGTTTAAGGAAGGAAAAAGATGAAGAGGAAAGGGAAAAAAAAAAAAAGGAAAGAAAAAAAATTGTGGTATTGGGTGTTATTACCCATACCATGGTAGTGGGTAATACTTACTCCCATTTTTCAAGTGGAATATTTTGCATTTTTGCAGTGAGTATAAAGGGCCAGCCATATATTTCAAGCTCTCATAGTCTCATGTGAATGGACAGCTCTCATTTTTTTCCTTCACTAAAACTAGGGGAAAAGATAATAGGCATCCATCATTATCATTCATATTTTTTTCATTAATACTTCTAACACAGGGAAAGAAATCTGATTTCTTTGTCTATGGGGTTCCAAATCTTGCAACTATAATAACGATACAGATTTTATCTTTATTTTTTATCTTATTTTTTATTTTACATTTTTTGACGGGTTTTTATTCTACATTTTATTACTTCATGACAACGCATTATTATTTTTTTCTTTTTCATTTGATTGAATTTGTCACATACTTGTACGGATTATAAATTATTACTCCGTAATATATATATATATATGCAATAAAAGGTACAATACAACTTATTACACGTATTAAAATAATTTAATGTTATTATTTCAAAATATGTATATTGATTCCAGCACAATGATAGGTACAGTATATTTATTATTCATATACCCTTAAATTCAACTCCTATCTATTTTGTTTAGTTGTAATTAAGTATCGAATCAAGAAAAAATCTAGATTGTTGTTTAAATATTGTAGATTCAACCATTTCCAACCTTGAAGAATTAATTTTTATGAATTTCCCTTTTCCATGTAAATGAAAAGAATGAAATCAACTTATACTTACATGTTCAAAATAGTACTCCATATAAAATAGTACTCCGTACTAGTAAATTATATTGTAATAGATGGTTACTGCCAATAATAATAATAATAATAATAATAATAATAATTATTATTATTATAATAAAAAAAACTTTTAATTTATCTTATCAAATAGATCTCATTATTATTTGTTTTATTGACTCATTGGAAGGATTTTATGTCTACATCTTCAAAGTATATATACTAAGGAGCGAGGTAAGACTGCTATAGGAAGTCATTGTTAAGGGTCATGCGGCCCATGCATGTGTACAATGCAAGGGGCACTAGCTACTGTTAGATAGTTAAAAGGAAAAGATTAACCAGAATTATTGTTTAATACGAAATAATATTTAACATTGTGCAATGCAAATTAAAATCTCCTTGGTAGACCAATTGGTTGTTGGTGTAGTGATGATTGGGACTACACTTGGTAGGGAGGACCCGTGTTCGATCCCCCGCAACAACAATTGGGAGGGGACTGGAACCTAACCACCCAAAACTGTTCCCCGAATCCGGATTAGCCCAAAGGGTGAACCGGATGGAACACCAAAAAAAAAAAAATCTCCTTGGTAGGCCAAGATAGATTATGACCTGTTATCATCATACATGAACCTACTTTGAACCTAATTTAATTAACTCATTCGACAGGTCTAAGATAAATTTTACATATTGATTGAATTTCGCATGAAATTAAAAGATATACTCCGTATATCATGTTTCAATATTTTTTTTATTGCTCAAGTCAGATCAATGACCATCACAAATACAAAAAAGTTATATATATGATCGATCCACATATCTGAATATTTTATATCTCTTATTATGTAGTTTTAGTCTCTTTTCCTCAAGATCAAATACAACCCTATTTTTCGACAATCTTTCCCGTTGACCATTGGCCAATGTCCATCTAAAAAAAAATAAAAAATTATTGCATATGGGTAGGAGTCTAGTACAGTGGTACATAATTACATATACTGATATACACATTAGCATTAGCTATTAGCTAATCATCTGAATTAAGGGTCATCAACTAACCTAAAAAGGAGTTTACCCTACAACATAAATTATATATCCAATAAATACAATCTCAACCTCAGTTTTCCAGCTTTACTTCCCATCTAACTTCCACAATTCCGTGTGCTTTGCGTCTTTGCAACATCCACACATCTTTTTCACAATATACCCACGTGCCTTTTTACCTTCAATTAATACAACAACTTGCTACATTCTTTTAATTATATTATATTATATTATATTATAAAATTATACTACAAGTATAAGATTTTCATGTTGAAAATCTCTCTAGAATCACCAAAAATCACAAACATTTTAGACCCAAAACCATCCTAAGAAAACCATGTAGTATACATCAAATAAATATATAAATTTTTACAATATGGTTTATGGTGAGCCAAAAAAGAAAATGATCATATTAGTACCATATCCAGCACAAGGGCATGTAACACCCATGCTAAAACTAGCCTCATCATTATCAACCTTCGGGTTTCGACCATTGGTGGTGTTGCCGGAGTTCATACACAGGTTGATTTTCAACAAAATCAACGCCGCCACCAAGGGTGGGATCGTGTGTGTATCGATCCCAGACGGGTTGGATGAGGAGAGTAAGTCTCGCGATTTCTTTAATATTGAGAAAGCAATGGAGGATCACATGCCGCCTTACATGGAGCGTCTAATTCGTAAGACTAGTAATAATAATGGTGGTGAAAATATAGCATGCATGGTTGTTGATCTACTAGCTTCTTGGGCTTTTGATGTTGGGACTAAATGTGGTGTTGCTGTTGCTGGGTTTTGGCCTGCGATGTTGGCTACTTATTCTTTGATATCTTCCATTCCTGAGTTGGTCCAAAGAGGTCTCATCTCCGAGTCAGGTAAATTTTCCGTTTCTTAATACTATGAGTAGTTGTAACACTTTGACTTATTACTGTTACGATAAAGCATATATATAGTTCTTGTTAGGTTTTTCTCATATGAATTTTAAAAGATCCAATGTTTTTGTAAATTAAATACGTGTATTTTATAATTTAAAGTATGCATAAAACAACATCAATGTGTAACTTGTAGTACAGTACTATATAAGAACATGCATGTTATTAGACAGTCTAATTTAAATTAGTAATGCTCAACTTTGATCTAGTGTGACACTGTATTAGTTTTCTTCTTTTTCGATTAATATAGGAGGTTTCATTTGTACAAGTGTACATCAACAGTACTCTAACCAAATCTAACTACAGAGTGCTTAACTACAAACAACACGTTCGAGTAATTACTTTATCATACTCGTTTAAAATTATATTAATAGCCACATAACTATTTATTATAGTACAATTAGTTGACATTCACCCTTGGACGAAAGAAAGATACAATATGTTAATCTCCTTTAAGTTAAGGGCTAAAAGCCTAAAGTAAAGTATACACATGCTAGTAATAATAATACCTGAACTCCTGAAGTATACATGCGAAATTATACAATGAAGGTGAGGAATAACTCAAGTGATTAGAGCTATAGGCCCTGTTTGGTAAATAGGTTAAAGCTGAAGCTGATTATGTTAGCTGATTTTGACTAGCTGATTTTATTAACTGATTTGACTAACTTATTTTATTAGCTGATTGTATAAAAGTGTTTAATAAATAGCTGATAGCTTACAGGTGATTGAATATGTGAAATGACCAATAAACTAATTGTGGGATTAAAGATAGGATTTAAAATTAAATGAGGTTATAAGTGTCATTTCACAATAATTAATGAATAAGCTAATTGAAAAAGCTCCTAAAATGAGCTTTTTCAAAAAGAGCTTATTTAGTGGAATAAACTCTTTCAATAAGCTTACTACCAAACACTTGTTTGACTAGTTAATCAGCTAAAGTTACTCAAATAAGCTAATATACCCCCAATAAACTTACAACCAAACAAGGCCATGGCCCTGTTTGGGAGAAAGCTGAAAGGTGAAGCTGATTGAGTTAGCTGATTTTGACTAGCTGATTTTATTAACTGATTTGACTAACTTATTGTATTAACTGATTATATAAAAGTGTTTGGTAAATAGCTGATAGCTTAAAGGTGATTGAGTATGTGAAATGACCAATAAGCTAATTGTGGGGTAGGTAGTTTAGATAGAATTTTAAATTAAATGAGGTTATAAGTGTCATTTCACAATAATTAATGAATAAGCTAATTGAAAAAGCTCCTAAAATGAGCTTTTTCAAAAAGAGATTATTTAGTGGAATAAGCTCTTTCAATAAGCTTACTACCAAACACTTGTACTAGCTTGTTTGACTAGTCAATCAGCTAAAGTTAGTCAAATAAGCTAATATAACCCCAATAAGCTAACTACCAAACAGGGTCCATATCTAAAATGTTGCTGTCATATCACCATGTTAATACTATTTTTTATTTATTATAAATTCTTAAGTCAATAACTCAACAAGTCAACTTGCGATAAAATACCATGAATCAATCAAACGTATTTGAGTATTTCATATCAAGTGATATTAAAATAATTTCATGTACTTTAATCAACCCATGTTCCTATGCGTGTTTAAGCAGTGTTCCCTCCTCTAATTTCCATTTACAAATGTCCAAAATAAATGTTGATGCTCTTGTTATATGGTAATATTTTTAATTTTAGCTTCGTTAACGTTCTTTGTTTTCTTTTTATTTTTTTTTATTTTTATTTTTAAAATTCACTTCAATATAAAGTGTCATTTTTTTTGTTGAATTCATTGCAATATAAAGGGTTAATGATAATCACTACGGAAAAAATCAAATTTAAAACTCTAATTATCAACTTGACCTCTTGTTCGAGTTGATTCTCTAACCCAGAATTAGAGTTACTCGAGTTTAAATCTCATCCACCCCTCATTTTCAGAGACTTTTCTTAACAAAAATTTGTGTTTACCACATAATGTATTCAAAATTTGTAGGGCTCCCACAATTTCATGGACCAATATCATTTCAACATGACCAACCACTTCTTAAGAGTGAAGATTTACCTTGGTTAATTGGAACTCAAGCTGCAAAAATGGCAAGATTTAAGTTTTGGGCCAAAACCATGGATCGGTCCAGATCTCTCAGGTGGATCCTTGTCAACTCTTTCCCAAACGAGTCACAAAATATATGGGCCAAAACACCAGGCACGGCCCAACCACTTATTCAATCGGCCCATTAGGCAGTAATGAAGTGAGTGAAAGCCCAACTTTTTGGGAAGCAGATGAAAGCTGTTTGGGCTGGCTAGAGCAACAAGAGCCCAACTCAGTGATATACATATCGTTTGGAAGTTGGGTTAGCCCAATTGGCGAAGCAAAGGTGAGAAATTTGGCCCTAGCATTGGAAGAGCTAAGAAGCCCATTTGTTTGGGTTCTTGGGCCTGAATGGAGAGATGGGCTGCCCAAAGGGTACATAGAAAGATATCAAAGATTAGGTGACCAAGGGAAGATAGTTGCATGGGCACCACAAGTTGAAGTATTGCAACAAAAGGCAGTTGGGTGTTACATCACACATTGTGGATGGAATTCTACTATGGAGGCTATACAATGTAAGAAATGCCTCTTGTGTTTTCCGGTGGCCGGCGATCAATCCTTGAATTGCGAATACATCGTGAATGTGTGGAAAATCGGGGTTAAGATGAATGGGTTTAGTGTAAAGGATGTCTGTGACGGTGTTAAAAGGGTGATGCAAGATCGAGAGATGAAGAAGAGAATCGAGGCTTTGAACATGAGGGTCATGGGGGAGAAGGCAAGCTTGGAAGTTAAAGATAATTTGTTAGGATTCGTGAAAGATATTAAGAGACCGTTTAATGCATTACAATTTAATATATGAAGAATCATACTATAAGGAAAGCTTGTGAAGTTTGTGAACTATATTACCTTTCACTTGTTAACTTTGTGAATAAACTATCTTTAATTATTTAATATATATATATATATTTTGTAAACTATGGATTATAGCTTTTGTTTTGTTTTGTTTAACACTACTTAATAAAAATCTTGACCTACAACTCATTATGATTCCAATCACACACCATTGGCTTCCAATTGCTTAATTCACTTTAAAATTAAATGAATTAGAAATCAATTCAACAATTAAATATCAATCATAAAAATGTGTGATTTGGAGTTTAAGTATATACATTTGAAATATTCCAAATTACTTCGTTATTTACTTATTTTGTATATGTGTATCAATTTTTTTTTCATCTTTGGATAATGCACCTTATCAAGGAGTGGTCAGGAAGAAAGACTATCAAAGAACCTCCAAATATGTACACTTAATGCTCTATAATCAAGGGTGTAGATGTGTAGGCATTCAAACCAAATTCTAAGTATCTAGTGGTTATGATAATTATGTTTGTGATGGTTACTCTTATAAATTAGCTATACTCTCTCTGTTTTTTATTTAATAATTTTTTCACAAACAATATCACACCTTGACAATGTCTTATGTAAATCTTCACCAGCATAAAAGCATTATCTTTGTGATAGGAGGCTAGAGTAGTTGGCTAATTCTTCGACTTTCAGGTATGAGGGTAGGGGTTAAATCTCACCAAACTCATTTTAGGAGGGATTTCCCTTAAATTCATCTTTTTTAGGATGGACCTTCTCCTTACCATAAAATAAAAAAATAAATAAAAAAGCATAATATTTTTTTTTTAAAAAATTATTCATCTACCAATCATATAACAAAGGGTCATAAATTAAAGAAGTTGTAATCTAAATTAGAAAAGAAAAGAAATGCAATATAAAAGTTAACTTTTGAATACACAAGACATCTAGCTAGTTATCTACAAGTATCACTACATACACTTCCCAAAACTAAGATAACAATAACAAATTAACAACTCTTGCATCACCCAAATTAAGTATTTATTTTATCAAAAGTATGAACAAGTATTCTTCCTAAATTTGATAGGCTTGGTGCTTAGATAATCGACCGTAATGTTACAGGATACGTGCAAACGATGCTTCGTTTTCACTAGCTTCCCAACGACATATCCTCGAGAATGGATCTCCGTTTCGAGAATGAACGGAACCTGGCCACCGTGCTCGTTAGAGACATCTACACTTGATCCAGCACCATACAACGGTACCTTGTCTCCGTATACTGTAATTGAAGTAGTCCTTCGACTCTTTCTAGGCTGATAATGTTTCAGTAACTGTAATGATCACAAGTATTATTATAATTGTCGTTTTTTCTACATAGTAGGCTACATTTCTTTATCAGGTATAAATTTGAATTTACTATAATGGTAAAAATTAGTACTGAGATATGTAGAAACAGAATACTGACCTGACCAGTAGCAACTGTAATCTCCGAGTAGAGAAGAGCAATGGGGGTTGAGCTAACATGGATGCCGAAAAATGTAGCAGGATTGTGTATGCCTAGCTTCAGTGAGCCATTGAATGTCATTACTCTTGTTGGTACACCGGAGAAATCCGTTGCCTCCGACACAGAGAAGTAGTGTACTGATAAGCTCTGCCAAGAAGCCAAGCCAAGCCAAATTTCTAAGAACAAATTTAACAAGTTGGTTTTGTTTAATTTGTTTTAATGTGTATTGTACACTTAACAAATATTATACTAATTACGGAGTAATTATATGTAATGATTTTTATTTTAAGGTATAGTGACGGTGGTCTAAACAAAAATTGACTACTAAATCAATATCAATTGTAACTTGTTACTCTCAATCACCTTTTTCTTATCTCTTAGTGTTTTATGAGTTAAATGAGACAACAGACAAGTAAAATGAGACAGATATGTATAAAACGTTTGTAAATAATGATTCTTTTTCTTTTATTTTGAATTTTATAATGAGTTTATCACACTTTTCCCCTGTTTTCTTGTGCCAACAAGGAGTTTAATGATTGTCCATAGATTTATTTCATTTATAACACAGTAATCTCCTGGCACATGACCAATAATGAGATTTAATTCATAAGCTAATTGAAGAAATTAATAAAAGCAACTTAAACCCACAATATCCTAACCACTCTTAACGACCATGTTTAAGTTATTTTGATCAACTAATTATCCTTTTACATTTTAATCTCTTTTAAAAACCGTTTTCGAAAGAATGTGTTTTGAAACAAAAAGAAACTCAATAGTTTAACTCAAAGTCTACCAAAGAAGTAATAATTAATAACCATCTTATAATTACTTAATTAGTTAACAACCTAATAAAGTATACACTAAACCAAAATTAAGCTAGTGGATAATATTGAGATTAATAAATTAACAAAAACAAATAACCAAACAATTGTCCTTTGCTAACAACAAAAAACTAATTAACATAGTACTTATCAATATATGAGCAAGACAATTAGTAATAAAAGACAAGAAAAATAAATAAGTTATTACCTTCAAAGTGACTTGAGTTTTAAAAGGTCTACTAGCACCCCAAATGATCAAGCAAAACAAAGTAAACAACACAACAAAACTAAACACCGCAATTAAGGCTTGAACCCTTCTTGACAACCCTTTCTCATCAACACCATCATAGTGACCTTCTTCAAGAATTACATTACACTCAGGCCAACCTTTCTCATTCCTCCTTCGGCTCCCTTTTCGCCCCGAGGAAGACCGAAACACACCCGAAAACCGGCTTGCGGATGAGTTCCTTGAGTGCCTACCCATGGAAGGATGTGAAGGGGACTCCATAGGACTATTGTACATAGGTGTTGCTTGTAATGAAGCTGACTTGTTGTCTCCATCATGTGAGTCTCTTGATGGACTTTGTACATAGTATATTGGTCTTTTTGGTGATCTTGAAGGTGATGATGGTGCTGAACTTGTTAAATCTGACTCTGATTTTGTGTGTATCATCCTTGTATTTTGGAGATAAATATGAGAGTTGATTAAAAAAAAAAACAGGGGAATTTAATAAGAAAGGAGGGGGAGTTTTTATTTTTGTTAGAGTGAGGGACCAATAATAAGTGAAGCAAGTGGTGTTAGTCGTGTTTTATATACTTTTTTCGTTATAGCCATTCGTACAAGATTTTATGCAAGTGAAAAATTACAAAGAATTAAAATAAATGAGTGACCGTGTGGCCCAACTAAGGAGAAAAGATTTAGAGAAAATTTATTAAACATGAAAATAGGGTAAGTAAATTCGTAGCCCTATATAGAAAATTTAAGAGTAAATTAAGAGGAAGGGAATTTTAAAAATAAATGGATGAGTGACTATGTGAGTATGTGGCCTAGATTAATAAGAAAAAAGGTGGTCAATTGACCAGATTGGTAAATAAAAAAGACCCTTAGTGACAAATTGGTAAAAAAACTTATTCCGGCGACAATTTGATAAAAAAAAGCTAACTATATGCTACAATTTGGTAAAAAAAATAAACTCCGGCGACATTTAGCCCAAAAAATCTTATTATTGTCGACAAACTCTTTAAAAATCTTAATTTAATTTGTGTTTTGTGTTTTTAAATTTATTTTTCCCATTTAAGATTTAGAATTACTATGCCATCCCCTTTTTATTTTGCTAAATCCCAATACCAATTTTTTTAACCCCTTTTTAAAAGAATTTCGTTAATAAGGGGTATGAAACTTAAGTGAAATTGATACTTCAACATTTTTTTTTCTTGAAATTGTTATTTCCATTAAAAGGGTTGATAAAAAAACATGAAAAACGAACTAAAATAAGCATTCGCGAGTATTTTGTCGGAAATTTTTGTATTTTTTGGATTAATTGTCGCCTAAGATTGTTTTATTTACCAAATTGTCGCTTAGGGTTATTTTTTTTACCAAATTATCGTCAGATTTATTTTTTTACCAAATTGTCGCTAAGGGTCTTTTTTTATTTACCAATCTGGTCAATTGGCCGAAAAAGGTACAAGTATATGTAAATTGAAAACCTTATATGGAAAAGTTACTAGTAAAATGAGACAAACGGAATAAAATAAGCATTTACAAATAATAAAAATTGAAAGATGGCCAACAGAAAAATATGCTGTAGTAGGTGACAAGGGATACAACAGTATAAGGATTAAAGAGTGAGGACTAGACTATATATACCTCAAAATTACTACCACTAATATTATAGTGCAAGTGCAAGTGCAACTGCCTTTAACTTGTGTGGATATGTTCGATTGTAGGGCTAAAAGTGTCGGCAACCGACGAATTTCTACCAAATTATGATAGAGATCAAATTAGAATCTCTTTTTCAAAAACTAGACAATGTAAGGTTATGTTGAATTATTAGAGATTATAATTAGCATGTCATTGCGATGGGGATTTCCATATACCTTAAATTAGTTTTCGAGACTCCACAATTTTTTTAGGTTAGATAGCATAAATGACACGAGATTTGACATAATTTTTATGAAATTTTGTCAACAACTACCAAATAAAGCACGTGTTTTGAAAGCAACTGCATATTAAAAGCTTTTTTTAAAAGAACTACCACAAAGTTGTAAGAAGTTTAAGTAGCACTACCACTCTAACAATTTTGGTTAGAATTTTCGACATTTGAGTCTCACTTTTTATGACTTTTTACCTTTATAAAGGGTAATCTAGTCAATTTAGATGGTGATTATATGAGGAAAAGGTACAAAGTGGAACCCACATGCCGAATATTCTAGTTAGAATTATTAGAGTGGTAGTGCTACTTAAACTTTTTACAATTTTGTGGTAGTTTTTTTTTAAAAAAACACGCGCTTTAATTGGTAGTTCTCGACAAAATTTCCTAATTTTTATTGCTGGTAGGTGTATAATGTCTATTCCTTTTGCAATGTTGACTTAGATCGAAACATTTTTCATAATAATATTTAAAGCACTAGTTGAACACTAGCTAGTAAACACTCAATAATCTAAAGAAGACAACACCTAATGACCTTTTTTTAGAATTTTAACCTGGAAGGTTGGAATATTATGAGTTATAAAATGAATGCATAATTGAATTGGTGAACTATATCCCTATTGTTACATCACCATTGTAACTAATTAGGGTGTAGGAGTACATATATATAATGCAATAAGGAACACAAATTATTTTGTCAATATTGTCTCCATCATTCATTGATGAGTGTATTTTATTTTTATGTAATGAAAAAAAATATATAATAACTTAATGTTATTGACGTTTATGGTTCATGTCCTTAGCGGTTTATCTTTTAAGGTTATGATAAATACTACAAATATATAAAACAAGTTAAACAACCCATGATTGGTATATGTCAATATATCCTAGATAAATGAAAGAAAGCTAAATAATTGTATGATTAGGATATGAATGCGATTAAGCAAACTTAGACAAATAATGAAATCCTTTTGAAAGTAATTGATGAAAAATTATGATAATGATATGAATTGGACTATAATTCCTCAGGATTTCATTTTTTCAATATAAGTCTATTTGATGGAGCATCAAATTCGAAAAATATTGAAACTTGAAATATCTTGAGTCTTGAATGAAGGTCATACCTTAAAATCAAATCCTTAATCATGTATGGGAAAAATATTGCTTACTAGTACATATCTTCATTTTCAATTGTAACATTTAAATTTGGAGCAAATACAAGTTTATCTGTCAGATAAACGAATTTTTGTAAATCTGATGACGTTTTTGTAAATATATTGAAATAACGTGGTCATTTATTCAGTGCTTTTGGTGAGTTGTTCGATCATTGTTTGCAACTTGCTTTTACGGTTTGCTGAGGAAGTTACACATGTACGTACCCCTTAACTAGTACATGAAAAGACACATGTACCCTTCCATTGATACTTGAAAAGACGATTAATTTGTTTATCTGGGGAATTAACTGGGTATAGCTCTTAAATTTGAAATTATCTATTACTTTGTATTTTTTTTAGGTAAGAATAAAAGGTTTTTGAGGGGAGAGGTAAATAAATCCGATCTCTTGGATAAGTTCCATAAGATTTAATATGGGAAATTCCCTGTTTCTCATGGTGAGAAACGAAATTTATTTCTCATGGGGGCATTTTCGTAAATAAATCAACAACTTTTTCATTATTGTGGGCTTCACAATTGAATAAAGTTGAATAAAATTGTTGGTTTATTTACAAAAATGCCATGTGAAAAATAAAATTTGTTTCTTACCATGAGAAATTGGGAAATCCTCATTTAATCTTTAGACATAAATTTTAGGTGGATAACATTTGCAAGATACTACTTCTCTAACCCCCCTCCCCCTCAATCTAAAACAATATACCAATTTATGTAACACTTTTTATGATAAAAAAAAGTACAAAGTACTAAAGAATGGAAGAACTAAATTTATGTAACACTTTTTATGATAAAAATAAAGTGCGAAGTATTAAAGAATGGAAGAACTAGATGCAACTCCAAAATAGTGGACTGTAAAGCAAGAAAGCTCTCCAAAGACTTCCTTACCTACCAATAATAGAAATCAAGAAATGAGTACAAAACCAAAAGAAAAGTGAATACGACAAAGTATTAATACACTATACACCTTTTAATTATAATAGCCAGCCAATAACATTGGCCCACATTGGATTAAGACTAAACACCTTTCGTTGTCCAAATTATTAGTGGAATAGTGGTAGTTACTATTACAGTTATCCGTTTACCCCATCTCATGGATCGATATCATAGCCCAAATATACAGTGGTCACTCTTAAGCGGGCCTATAGTTTAATATTGGGCTAAGTTTGGGCCTAAAAGGACTTGGTCTTTCATTCATTTTTAGTGGACACTTCGGTTATAGTGTAAGCTTATAATAATGCTAAATTCTTCATCCGTTGTATTTTAGTATTCTCACATTTCTTATTTTCATGTTTGCCAAATTGTCAATATATGAATTTACAAAACTAATATCTTTAATATCAATAAGACAAAGTTAAAATATGACTATATTGAAAATAATATATATTATGATGAATATTACACACGACTATGTTTATTTTGCAACTCTAAAAGTCACTGAAACCATTTAGAAAATATTTAATGGTTTTTTGTTTTTTTTTTTTTTTTTTTTTTTTTTTTTTTTTTTTTAATTTAATGGGTAAGATGCTTATTTTGTCATGCACTCCTAAACTTATTTGTAGCCTGAGTACATATATATAGCATTACATTATCAAAAAATAATACACTCCTCTCATGAATATTTTATTTAGGTCGAATTTAATCGAAACCTAGATATTTAGATGGAGGTTGAGCTTTGATCTCTGCATAAATCAGCTCCAATCTAAATTTGATTTATGCAAGGTAAACTATCAACCAGCAAAGTGTCACAAATTAGGGTTTCTTCTTCTTTTCCCTCTTTTTTTTTTTTTTTTTTTTTTTTTTTTTTTTTTTTTTTTTTTTTTGGTAAAGGATGTCTAGAAAGGTTGTTTGATGATTAGATCATGCCTCATTCATTATGAGAGGAATATGGGACTATCATGTCTATCAATATTCTCGCTCAAAGATAGTGCATAATCTTTCTTCATGAGGATTCCATATGCGTTGCATAATTGTTGCATCTCGATATAGGACATACAATACCCCTAATTTATAAAAGTACAATACAACCTTAATTAGCTTATTTCTGTCTAACAAAAGGGATACGAAGTGATATATCATTGTCTTCGTACAAGCTGCATGCTCTAAAGCTTAGCACGATTTGGTAATATGTCCAATATGATCAGTTTTCTAATTAAGCTAAGCTACATTCGATTGGGTTTGGGATTGGTTTGGTTAGTTCAAGTTCTGTTCAATTCAGTCTATTCCGAATGGTTTATATTATGATACTTGAATAGGCGAGTAAGTCTTAAACATTATCATGCTCAATTTATCATTTATGTAAATTTTTCATTTGATTCAAACTAAGTTATAATTCCCCATCAATATATATTTTTAATTTCATACTAATCTCATATATAAATTACTGTAAAATTAAACCATTTTTTTCAACCAGCTAGTCTAAACATTCAATTAAATCATTCGGTCAAACCAGTCAATATAGTTTATTATTAACAACTAATTACCAAACAATGACTTTTATCCATCTTTACTCTTTTTTAATTTTACTTACCCTACTTTCATAAATGTCATCTTTATCTTACAGTCTAACACATCAACCACTTGCTTGAACACTCATATATGGCTAACAGTAAAATGGCCGGTGTTAAATATCACACATAAATAGTTTAAAGAACGAACGATGTAGTAAAATTTCTCGGAATCCAATGCATAAAGATAACAACATAACTTCCATGCAACTTTAAGGAAATGCATGTGGCATATCTTAACATCAGACAATGCAACTTTAATACTACAAAAAATTAAAACTTTGACAAAAGTGTGTTAAGTTTGTGGATTCCTCTTGCCTTTTTTTTTTGCATGAATATGCAGAGTCATGTACACAGATCCATCCTCTTTTTTTGCTTTAATTTCTTCCTTTATAAAAGCTTTGCTTGATGAAAGAATACAATATTATCTATAAAAATATTTATATATAGAGTAAAAAGCAACATTAACATTAGTAGAGTAATAATAATGTCATATTTAAAGAGAAGCAAGAATGGATGGAAAGTAGACATTATGTAGAGAAAAAAAAAAAGATGAGAAGGGTTGGTGTATGTAAAAGTAGCCATTTTCTTTTTGGATGTAAAGTCGATGATAATTTAACCATTTATTTACCTGCGAAAGAGAAAGAAGTATGATTAATCATAATGTGAAAAAGTTATTTATCACGTAAATTATGTAATTTTAACGTATAACATGACAACTAAATCCGAATATAAGTAGTGTAAAGGAGTTTATAGCTTACTACTTCCAGCGAAAACTCGGCAAATGAAAGTGAGAAATATGATGACAATCACAATTGCAGCTAGTAGTCCAATTACCAGTGCAAAATTTTTCACTCCCCTATTTTTGTCATCGGTTCCTCCTACAAAGAAAAAAAAGGAAAATAAAGATAAATGAGTAAGTCAAATTTACAAAGTAATGTTACAATGATATGGATCCTAGTCATTAGTCACCACAAAGAAATTAAATTAATCAAAGTCTAAAGTAAAACACAACAATATAACATTACATTCACATGTATACGAAGTACTATATGGTGATCTTTACTGATTATTTATTGATTGTACTACGTATTAAGTTAATTATGGTCCAAGACTCCAAGCTTCCAACTATGGAAATGGACATTTTCAAAAAGTAACTTCACATATACATAGAATTTTATTGTCCAATGACTTGCTTTAATTAGAGTATATTCATAATATGAATTATTTAGCAAAAACTTGCCTTTTTTTTAATTTTACTTTAGGCTACATTTTTAAAAGTTAGATTTTTTTTGGTGTATATAGAGCTATGTCAAATAATATAGGTACATGAAATATACATGATGATAAATATTTAACTGGCCTATGGTATCAACGTTCAATACATAAACCAATAAAATTAGGTGGCATCATTCACTAAAAGGACATGTTAAACATCTAAAATTCTAATACTCCACATATATTGATATATACACTATATATAATACTCCGTAATATATATATAAGCTTATCGATTATATAGAGTAGAAAAAATAGTATTGACGATTTATCAGTTACAATAGCAAAACCAAAACTTTGTTAAGTTTAGATAAAAGTATTCATATTGTCATTACAACTATAAGTAACATACAATTGTTTAAATGTCAAGCATATTACCAAGAACAAAAGTAATGAATTCGTGTTGCACTAGATACGAAAAAAGAACAGAGAGAGTATCGATTAAATCATTTTATGAAAGAAGTGATTAGATAATAATTTGTGTGTATATATATTATATAGAAAAACTTACCAATACCATTATTATTGAAATATCCACGACCACCTCCAATAGTATACCTAACGTAACATTTTTCCAAATACATATCACCATTACCACTCGTAGCACATTCCGTCTTTACTTGATCAACACTCTCTTTCAAGCAATCTTGACATTGTCCTTCACTCAAATCCCCTACACACTGCGCAATCATTGCCACATCCTTCGACCCGCCGGCTCGATAAAACCCTCCTCCGTTCCCCACCACCCCTTCCAACACCGCGTCACGGTTCGCAATCTTATCTTGGTTCCCCGTAGGTTGTCCACACTTTTTCATCACCACGGTCTTATCCTCGGCCCCGATGAAGGTGTCGTTGTCGTACTTAACGTAGCACCCTTGGAGTTGGATGGCCCCGCCGCATGACCCGGGGCATAAGGCTCCTAGACGGCTAACCGAGTTGGCTACGCACGTGGCGCAGTCCGGCATGGAGAGGTCGCCACGGCATTGGTAGAGGCCGTAGACGACCTCGTGCGTGGAGGTACCGGCGATGGCGAAGTGGTTGTAGGCCATGTAGGTGGCTGAGTTGACTAGGGAGGTGAGGAGGGAGTTGAGGTTTGAGGTGTAGGCGACGTCGGAGGAGGAGTACTTGAGTTGGGAGCAGCCGCCGTAGACGAAGGAGTTGAGGGTGGAGGAGTCGGAGGCGGTGGCGAGGGAGAGGAGGAGTAAGAGAGGGAGTAATGGAAGTGAAGTTGCCATGTGATAATAATGCAAGGGTTTGAGCTTTGGGAGGAAAAGGGAAAGAAAATGATGTAGAAAATGAAGTTGGTAGTGTTGTGGAAGCTTACATTAGCATATATCACTTGCTAGGGTTACTTGTTTTTTTTTTCTAATGTTAAGTTATGCTTCAAAAGTCTATAATGTTAGGGGTATTATTGTAAAACTATATATATATATATATATATATATATATATATATATATATATATAGTATTAGAGTGTGTAGCATTATTATCATTGATATATATACTTCTTACAATCTTACTGTTAGGAATACAGAAAAATATATTATTGTGATATATTTTCCATATACATCTTATAAAAGAATAAATAAAATAAAATGAAATGTAGGTATCATAGGACGTTATAGAATTATCACTAGTAGAAAACAAATAGGCAACCCCCTAATGGCACCGGTTCAGGCCAAACCGGTGCCAAAAACTGGCCTGAAAATGGGCAGGTTTTTAAACAAAGAGAAATGGCACTGGTTCAGCTCAAACCGGTGCCAAAAAAAAAGGGCACCGGTTTGAACCGGTGCCTTTACGAACCGGTTCTTTAATTATAAAAAAAAAAACCGCCCATTTAAAACCCCCCCAAACCCTAAAGTTGCCTGCCCATTCTCTCTCCTCTCCTCTCCTCCTCTTTCCTTCTTGCTCACCATTTCCTTCATTTCTTTATCTTTCTGGATCTCCTCCTCCTTTCTATCACTAGAAGACCAAAAACAAATCGAAAACAACAACAAATCGAAGACCAATAAACCGCCCATTTTAATCAATTTCTTGGTTTTTTTTACCATTAATCGATTTCTGGGTTTTTCGATTTGAATTTTTTTTTTCAATTCCAATTATTTCGATTTCCGGGTGTTTTCGATTTCTGGGTTTCTTTTTCGATTTTTTTTTTCTTTCTATTTCTGTTTTTTTTTTCGATTTCAATTTTGATTGTGTTGTTTTCGATTTTGATTTTGTTTTTTGATTTCAATTTCAATTTCGATTTTGATTTTGTTTTTCAAGTTGCATGCGGTTTTGGGGTTTTATTTTCGTGATTTTTAGGTTTTTTTCCTGGGTTTTTTTTTTTCCATTTCAATTCTCTTTTAATTGGGTTTTTTTTTTCGATTTTCATTTTTTTCCGATTTCTGGGTTTATTTTATTTTTTTTTTCAAGTTTGTTTTAATCAAATTTTTAATCAATTTCGATTTTCATTTTTTTTTCTGATTTCAATTTTTTTTTTCGATTACAATTTTTTTTGTTTTCTGGGTATTTTGAATACTGGGTTTTTTTCGATTTTAATTTTTTTTTTCGATTTCTTATTTTTTTCTGGGTATATTCGAATTTTTCATATTTATTTTTTGGGTTTTTTTTAATCGAATTTAAATTTATTTATTTTCTGGGTTTTTTTTAATCGAATTTAATTTTATTTATTTTCTGGGTTTAATTCTTTTTTAACTGATAGATGTTCTGGGTTTTTTTTTCTTTTCAACTAATTTTCTTTTTTTTTTTTCGATTTTCTGGAATTTTTTTAATTTTTTTCGCAGCTTAATTAAATCATTTTAATCGATTTATTTTGGTTGTTTTAATTGGTACAGGTACATGGATTTAGATCTTAAATTGAAGAATCAAGATGCAAGTATATTGATTTAGATGTTGTATGGGTTTTTTTTATTGTGAAGTTGTAAATTTTTATTTTGATTTATATTGTAATTTTTTTTATATGTTGTAATTTTTTTTTTTTTGATTTATATGTTGTAATTTTTTTATTGATCTATATTGTATTTTTTTTATTATATATATATTGAAAAAATTTGATTATATTGATTGTGATGTGCCATTTATATTTTGTGTTCTCATTCAATTTTAGTTTATTTAATTTTTAAGTTTAAAAAAAAATTAATTTTTTGACACTTTTGGCACCGGTTAATCGGTGCCAAAAGTGGTGAATTAATTTTTTTTTGTAATTTTAATTTCAAGTTTTGGCACCGGTTTGAACCACTTTTTGACACCCCCCACATTGGCACCGGTTCAAACCTGTGCCTTAGGCCGGGTTTGAACCGGTGCCAAATTCATTTTTTCACGTAGTGTATGTCAATTTTTTTTTTTCAATAGATCTCTAGCTAATTTGATTTTGTTTACCCAAGTAATAATTATCCCTATGTTTCATTTAATTTTTAATCTAAAATTTTAGCTCTATACATACATTATTGTCCACATCATTGGATTTTCTTAGGTTCAATAACATGATTTTTACATATGAAAACAATTAAAATTAAAAACTACAAAATAGATTTCATTATCTACCAAAAAAAAAAGGATTCATTTTAATTAGAGAGTATTTTAATTACGGAGTATATGATATATACTTGTACTAGAGTACTAGACATGGTATCAAGTTCACACCAATTCCAAGATTGACTCAACACTTAGCTTAATTATTAAATTGGTCTTAACTAGTTTAAAGTCAAATCACAAACAATAAACATGGTATTTGAATGGGATTTGTAACCGGGTCATAGAATTTGGGTTGTATATTCGGTCTAACTCCCTTTTACTTTAATTTTTTTGGCTGGTATGACTTATCATCATAATTGGCCTACATCATATTCATACATATTCATATTAGTAGCTTTTAGGTGAAAGAGATTCGGTTTGTTCAAATAAAGCTTAAATCCTTATGAAATAAAGGTTCTTCATTTTGAATTTTACAAAAAGCATAGGTAAAGGCTAAAGGGAGAGCACACTATAATGTATATACTCAAATCTCATTGGAAGAAACTTGAAAAAAAAAAGATGCTTAAAGATTAAAGATCATCTGTTGCTCGCTTTATAAAAGTTTATCTAATAAGAATATTATGATTTAATGGCTGCTTTTAGTAATCTGATGAATGATACAGCTTACTTGTTGGACCATTTGTAGAAGGCCCATTAGCCCATAATCTCTAGACTAGCCTTGGACGGACTCGCTATGGATATAGAGCTGTCAAATCAGATGTACAAATCAGACTTGATTTAAATTTGGTCAAGACATATTAGATTTGGCTTATTTTAAGTCAATGAATTCTTGCAAATCAAATATGAAGTATGAGTTAAGTTCTATAATCTATATGGATCATTCTTGGGTTGGATAGCACTAGAATTTGGATCGTCAAATTATATATGATGCTCTCTTCATGTCCGAATATACAAGGGTGATTGAAAACTCGAGCAGCTCAATTCTTGCCCTTTAACGGGTGCAATACACCGTTTAATCCCTTTCCTTGACCCTTCAATAATCTCATTCTTAACTATGTTATATAGACACAAATGCGCTTGAATGAAGATGATGACGGACAATTGACAGCTTAATTGCGATCAAAAGGACGAGCTTTCCCATCCCCATGAGAATCTCGCAAGTAATGATCTACGCCAAAAGGGCAACATGACTAGTTTGATATCACATACTTGCCTACCAAATTGTACAATGTACAAATGAGTGTACTACATCTACACGAATTGTATTAATTTAATAACTAGATATATTTGTATATCTAGTAATGGCTAGAGAGTCTGATAGCTAGGAATGACAACGGGTCCGACTCGGAACGGATTATGCTAAATCCGACTCCGATCCGACAGGAAGTCAAAGGTTAAATCCGACTTCGACATTCGACTCCGACTTCAATATCCGACCTCTGACCCGACTCCGAGTTTTTTTTTTCATTATTCAATATACTTTGAGATGTTGGGCTATTTGGGCCTTTACAACCCACACCCAATGCCACCATGACCCACACAAAAATCCACTATCTATTGGAGTCGGAGTCAGATAATCCGTTAAAGTCGGACATTTGTCGAAGTCGGATTTTTTTCTCGGATTTTTTGTAGGATTTGACTCAGACCCTCCTCCGACTCGGAGTCGGATTATTTTAACGGAGTCGAACTCGGATTATTTTTTCTCGGACTCGGAGCGGAAATCTTTACCTCGGGTCGGGGCGGAGTAGGGCCGGATCCGGACTAGATTGTCATCCCTACTGATAGCTAGATATTTGGATATTATCGGTTTGGGTGCTCGAATAACTTTTTTGGGCTTCTTATAATAACATGGGCAATCAAGTCCATTTGGACTCCGTTACATCAATAAAAATAAGGTCCATAATCAACTCTTTTGTGCTACGCATGACAGCATTGTGATATTAAGGCCAAGTATTCGGCATACAGAGGGGATCAACTAGCCAAGGCCCAAGGCACCAACTATCTCATGTAACTATACGTCTATACTACTCGTATTTGCTATCCCTCAAACCAATTACTTCCGAGAATCAAGGTTGACCTTATGGTTAGAGGCCCTCCTTCCACCCTTGTGCAAGTTGGATCCCTTATTTCCCCCCAACTTGCAAGGGAATTCTCCTTACCTTACAAAAAAAATAAAAAAATAAAAAAATAAATAAATAAAACCAATGACTTCCAAGTACGGAGTATATGTGGTTAGTGGAGGAACCAGAATTTTTTACAATAATATTATCTGGAACCTCTTACAAACAAATTATCTTTGGTAATCTATAATTTGTAAAATTTATTCAGTGGTAACATTAGTTAAGTATTTTAAGGAAAATTAACCATGGTTAATGTTTTAAAAGTGAGGGAAAAGCGAAAAGACTAAACTATCCCTTTTAACAAAAACCCACCACCCACTACTTCCCCTTGCCGCCCCTGCCCGCCCAGCCCTATTCCCCTGCTCCCGGCCGGGCGCGCCCACCAAGATTCCCCTCCCCGACGCCGGCTGAACCCCCTCCCCTTGTCACCGCAACCCTAAACCACCCAATCCCACCCTCATAATCATTTCCTCTCTCTTCCACGACACCGTTAATACCACTAACACCAACACCATCACATAAACCACCATCCGCCCAAAATCTCAAATCTCCTTCCACCAATTCTCAACGCCTTCAGACTTTTGCCGTTGTCAATTGTCTCTTGCAAACTCCGATCTCGCCGTCAATCGTCTCGACAACAAAAATTGGTTTTGTTGGTTTCGATAAGAATTCATGGGTTTCGATAAGGGTTTTCGTGGGTTTTGTGGGGGATATGAGAGGGAAGAAAGGGAAGCATCGCGACAGGGGGAGGGAATCGGCACAGACGGCACCGGACCCAGGGGAGGGAGATATGGGATCGACCGGCGCCGAGGGCACGTGGATTGGGTTTTGGCGGTGGGCTGGGTGGAGTGGTGGGTGATTTATTTTTTTAATTGTTAAAAAAATAAAGGAAAATTTAATTTTTAAGGATATGTTAGTCATTTTGCCTTTAATTAAGTATGGTTAGGTTTATAATTGTAAATTAATCTCATTAATGTCACCACTTAATTAGTAACACAAATAGCCATAGGTGATTACCAAAGATAATTTGATTTTTTGATGTTTAGAAAAATAAAAAACTTAAGAGTACTATTAAGAATTTCCCAAAATTAATATACATTTAGGTGCTGCATATCAATCATAAATGAATGCTTTTTTAATAGAAAAGCTGAAAAGGTAATGTTCTAAATACTAGGTTGTTGGTAAGCTTGAACATAATAATGGACTATGGAGTATGTATTTTATTTAAACAAAATTTACACTTTGACTAATTGTTCAAATAACTTATTATTATTATTTATTTATTTATTTTTATTTTTTTGACAAAGAGGATTCAAATAATGTTGTTAACAATGCATATATAAAATTACAAATAGAATTATTACCAACCAAGCATAAATGAGGTTACTAATGAAGTTGGGGATTCGTAGATGAAACAATGTTGAATGGTGATGAGAGTGAATGTAAATGTAATGGTGTTGGACAGTTGATGTTTATCTGTAAGAGTGATATTAATGGATAAACTCCAAAGCAGGTGGGTGACACACAATTTCAGTTTCCAGGGTTAATCCTAAATTAAAGCATATAAAAATAAAATATTTCATATTCTACTACTCCAACACACACCCATGTCATCATATTACCATCTAATCCAAATTTGGCACGTCAAAATTTTGTACTCCCAACACATTCACACATCATACTAAATATCTATCCCTATTTTTAGTCCCTCTTTCTCACATAGTCATAAATCATACTCCCTCCGACCCAAAAAGAACGATCCATTTGGGTTGATTACGCGGGTATTAAGGAAGTTAAGTAAAAAGAAGTAAAAGTATATTGGAAAAATAGATTTACATGGGGTTTGTAAAAAAATAGAGAGACAAATAAAATAACATGGAAAATCAAATTTTTATATAGGGAAGCTAATTTTGCACAAATATTGTTGCAAATTGGTGGTGTTTTAATGCAAATGGATCATTCTTTTTGGGACAAAGTTTTGGCCAAATGGGTCGTTCTTTTTGGGACGGAGGGATTAATACACAAAATTTAGGATGGCATTTTAGATTTTACACACTTTACCAACCAATATTTCTTGGATAATTTATTCTTTTTGTTCCTTAAAATGTCCATAATAAATTTTCACTTTATTAATTAACAGTGGCAATGTAGATTTGTTATTCAATATGTGAGATGATAAATTTAAGAGTAATTCCAAAGGCTATTCTCATTACAATGAATGAATATGACCTATTTTATTAAAAAAAAAAAACAGGTCAATATTTAAGGAACGAAAAATTACTTAACCTCGTGTTCAACTAGGAAAATGGTACAATGACATAACACATGAGGGGCGATTGTCAATCATAATACAACCAATAGAAAAATTGAGGTGAGTACAAAATAACACCCGAGTATAGATGATTTATTGTAATAATATACTACTCCCTCCATCTCTAAATTACAAATCTAATTTTAGTATTTATTCCCCATATAATAGAGATAAATAGGATTATAATTTAGAGACGGAAAGAGTACGTACAATATTAATGAATACTTAAAAAGTCTAATCAAGGAACATAACACTAAAGAACAGAAAGGGTACCCTCAAAGTTGGGAGGAAAATTATTAATAACACTAAAATGTAAGCAAAGTTTGGAATATGTGCCAGACTTCAATTATGTAATCATAAATACGCAAACAAATGGATCATTTACATTTGGAAGGCTAGAGATGGGCATTTCAGGCTCCCACTTCTCTCTGTATATAAAAAGCCAACCTCTGCTTCTGCTAACTTTCTATATTTTACCACATTTAGCTTTTGAAACTTGAAACTTTGTTTTTTCCTAATAAAAGAAAAAAAATAGTACAATTGAGTTTATCTTTTCTGGGTTTTTAAGATAAGAATCAATAAGATCATATCTCATCTGGGTTTTTGTTTTGGAAAGAAACAGAGAAAATGTTGGAAGGTAAAGCTTTGATAGAGGATACTGATATGCCTTTGAAGATGCAGATCCAAGCTATGGCTTCTGCTTCTCATGCTCTTGATCTTTTTGATGTTTTTGACTACAAATCTATAGCTGCTCATATTAAAAAGGTATTCTACAAAAAAACCCGACTTGAGTTTTCATTTTAATTTTTATCCATTACTCATGTCGGACATAGGTACATGTCAAAGCGTCCGGGCTTGGTGATATAATGAAACAACTTCATGGTTTTGTACAAACAAAGTGTCAAATGTTCATCATGTTAAATCTCACATTGGTGGGGTTCGTGTGTGTTTAATGAAAAGTCCGAGTAACATATAGTATACTAAATATGATTGTTTTCTGATATGTTATGTGCAAAATGTAACAGGATTTTGACAAGAAATATGGAGGAGGATGGCAATGTGTGGTGGGATCAAATTTTGGGTGTTTCTTCACACATTCAAAAGGAAGTTTCATCTACTTCACACTTGAGACACTCAAATTCCTCATCTTCAAAGGGGCTGTTTCTTCTTCTTGACTTATTTTGTAAATAGAAAAGAAAACAATAAAGGGGAAAAGTGCAATTTATTACCCTTTTATTATTCTTATGTTTGTAATGTTTGTTTAATTTTCTAGGCTTTGTTAATGTCATCCCACTTTAAAGTGTAAATGGGTGATTTTCAGTCTTGAGAGCAGATGCAAGGTTAGTTTAGGTATTTTCCTTGCTGTGATTTAAGACAATTTCATCTGCCCTGTTTCACCAGTTTGAAAATATTAATATACTTAGTAGTAGTATTATCATGATGCATTACTACATTATTATAATTATAATCTAATACGAAATACGTAGTACGGAGTAATATTTATTTATCCTATGGAATATAATTTGTCAAATTAAAATAGTCTCACTACTGCATGTCTGCATTAATTGTTTTGATTAGTATACGATAAGATTGTGATTTCTTACAAATATAAGAAATCTAAGCGTATGGGAGTCTTCTTTTTCTAATTTGGATGGTTAATGGTGATTATAATGTATTAATGAAATTTTAACAAATGGAAATACTCCTACTTTAATTAAATCATTCAATTGGATCAAAACTAGCTTAACCAGTTAAAATCCTAGGATACATTCAATCCTCACCAAGTGTTATGCATCTACCCTCACTATTAATTATCATCTCTAATTTGATACATTTATAGCAAAATTTTCCGAACATTACAAGATATTATTTCATTATACGACTATCATTTCAGGACGGAGAGTGTACAGAGGTAACTAGGTAAGTCCATAGAGCTAACCTTCCTCCAAATTCTAACTTATAGCTTATACATGTTCTTGAACTTTATAAAACGAACAAAAAGAGATGGACCCATGCACAATAATAATTTAACAATAATCACACTACATAACCATTGTTCTTACGCATTATATGCAGTTGCTATTGACGTTGACGTGCCCAAAAATATTGAATCAAGAATCACTTATTCGTCCACTATACATATTGATGATTATTTAATCATGCCAAATTAACTTAAGTGCCAATAATCAGTTTGGTTCAGTGCATCTTCCAAAACCCCAAAAAAGTAGGGCCTGTTATCAAGTACAGTAATTTTTACATTAAATTTAAAAAACATGTGCTCAAAGATGCTAATTTATGGATAAGGTGAGCCAACTAATGTTAAGGCCTGGTCTTAGGGATGAGGTGAGAAACCTACCCATAACATGCATATTATGTGATGCAGAAGCTGATAAAACGGCCATTCACAGATATGGAGGTGCAGGAAATGGCCTTCAACCCACATCATCATGTCAAGGATTGTCAACTAGTTATTCCAATCCGTTGAGTCTAACCTTCTAGTTATTTACTTATTTCAATCCAACAAAATTTGACTAATTGTCTAACAATTACGCAACTAACCAGGACTTGATATCAATGGTGTTCTTAATTGAGATTAACAATAGTTCACTAATTATAGGTATTAGGCCAAAACATCCACTGTTTGTTGCCCAGCTTATAAATGGTTCTTCTCGGTTTCTCCATCAGAAGTGCTAGAATGTGACACAGTGAAACAGATTATAAAATTACTACTTGCAATAGCTTTAAGGAAAACAAAGTTGAATCACTGAATAATGAAGTTTTGATGCAACTTTGTACATCCAGAATCAGATCAACAATATGTCATCTGACTATCTAAGAGGTTTAGACAAGAAGCTAAATCCTAAACTACAGGAGATTGCAAAATCAACTGTGCTATGGTAAATGATAATTTTTATGTAAGAAAAAGGTGGATCTTGTGTACATGTATGAAAATCATAGATGCCTTTCATCGCCTCAGAATACTGCAAAGATGAGAGACAGCTGACAAAATAATACAGAGAGCAATACGAAGCATCTAAGTGAAAAACCAGAGAATTACCAGAATCTCAGGTGAGCAGAGCCATTTCATAGGTAATGTGGCGATAAGACAGATTGCATTGATCTCAATGGTCCAAATTCCGAAGTCTTCGATGCCTTCAGAGTTCAGATAATGTTAAATAACTGGAGTCAACAATGGCTCTTTTTGGAAATGTGCCTCCAGATTTCTGATCACAAGATCAGCCATGGCTTTGCAAGTTTCAACAGTGTCACTTCCAACATGAGATAACATCACCACGTTATCAAGCTTCAACAGTTCTTCTGGAACGTTTGGCTCATTCTCAAAAACATCAAGCCCTGCACCACCTAATCTACCTTCGAGTAGAGCAGATACAAGCTCAGCTTCAACAACATGAGCACCTCTTCCAATGTTTATGAGGATACTCTTTGGACCCAGTGCATCAATGACATCACGGTTGATGATATGACGGGTTTCTTCAGTTAGGGAGCATGAAATGACAAGAATTTCACAGTTAGCTGCCAAGTCAACAACCTTTTCATAGTATTTGTACTGCACATCAGGTTTCTTAGACCTGGAGCAGTAACTAACTTGGCATCCAAATGCTCCTGCTCTCTTTGCAATAGCAGAGCCAATCCTGCCTAATCCAAGAATTCCCACTGATTTACCAGTGAACTGGAAAGATATAATAGGAGAAAAAGAACGAATATGAGAAAGACTATACAGATGACCAATCACAATTATGTTCCACTAATGTCAAAGCTGACCTATGCCATTTTAACATTTGTAAAAGATAGTAAAACATACAACTATACCAAACAGTAAGCATAATATTAAAAGTTGGCATTGCATCTTTGATATTATATACTTCTAATTGTAGTAATTAGTGAATCTAAGCAAACATTTACAGTTTGGAAAGGAAGACAAGTTAAATGAAAGTTATGATCAATCTTCTCATTTTAAAGGATATAATCAACAAGCTGAAGATTCAAAACAGTAGGCTTGAGGTCCAGTTAGATGGCTCTAATCAACTTTTAAATGAAATTGTGATCTTTGGTCAATCATACGAAAGAAAGAAAACTTACTTTCTCAACGTTGCTAAATCTTGTTCTATAATACTGCGCATTGAACAGCTGACACTACTGGCTTAAAAGTGTTTTGACAATTTAATTAAAATGACTTACCAGTCTTATGATATTGAGCAGCTTATTAAGGCTGGCTGACTAGCTTAAAAAGGTATAAATGATGGCATTATCATCTTATTTACAATAAAATCTTCCACCAGATATCCAACCATTACATTTTGGTTGCTGATGAGTGATGACATATGCTAAATGCTAATGGACCTTTATCCCCTATAACTCTTCACCTTTACGTAGGGATGGGGGTTTTCTCTAATTGAAGTGAAATACGAGTACTGGTTTATTTCTTCTAACAGGCTGGTATTTATCTCTGTACAAATGCAACTCATGAGGTCAAACCTTTATCTTCATAATTCTTCCTATTCCTTTTATCTCAAGATTTTATTGAACAATTTATCACAGAGAAATAAAATACAGTTCCAACACAAGACCTTCTCTCATAAATGTCCCATAACAAAACTCGAACAAGACCATCATGTCATCAACTGTCTCCTAGTAAAGGGGGGAGCGAGGGGAGTAATGTAGATCTAAGCTTGTTCATACGATACAGAATCTATATAAGCTTAAACTTAGAAAGTTCTTAATCCAAATACAAGAACAGTTTGATCAATAATCTTTTGGTGGCAGGAAACCAAATGGACAATACACAATTACATGAAACATTTTACAAAAATTAAACGAGTTATCCAGGGTCAATAACCACACACATAGAACAATGGCGCGATTAAATCCCAAGTCTTTAATACCACCTCCTAAGACTCAACCAACTCACTAATTGGCAATTTGGGCATTCCCTAATTCTCAAAAAGCTCAAACACTCAAGTAACAAACAAATGCACATAACATAGTCATAAACACCACCAATCAAACACCTAAGAATGAATCAAATAACATTAAATCAAACAAATACTTGGTAAATAAAGAATCTTTCTATAAAATTTAATTATTAGAATAAGAGAACAACCTTAGTAGACAAAGGAAGATCAGAATCCTTCCAACACCCATTTCTGACAAAAGCATCAGCAACACAAACCCTTCTAAGAGTGCTCAAAATCAACCCAATAGCCAAATCAGCAACATCATCAGTAAGAACATCAGGGGTATTAGTAACCTTAATTTCTTTCTTCTTACACAAACCCAGATCAATTTTATCAAACCCAACACTGTAGCTTGCGATAATCTCTAAATTGGGGAGGGATTCGATCAAATCTGCGTTGGCACCATTTGCTGCATTACTTACAAATGCGTGGATTGAGTTTGAGTTTTGTTTGAGAAATTGTTGGGTTGAACAAGGGTTTTCCCAGATTTTGAAGAGGGTGAAGCGGGAATTGAGTTCGTGTTCTAAGTAAGGCAACATTGGAGAGGTCATTAGTACGCCTTTCTTCTCCATTTGTAAAGAGTAGAGAGATGTGAGAGAAAAGGAGTGATTAGAGAAGACTTCCTAATAGAACTATAACTATGATTTATGGTTTAGTTTGTTCGGTAAAATTGGTTTCATTTGGTGTTTAGCCAGTAACGAATTAATGACATGACGTAGACAAGATTTTGTCCGAGATACTCCGTATTTAATTGAGTTTATGAATATCACCGATTAACCTCTATGGCTTTTATATGTCGAAATTATTTGGTAACACTACTTGAAAATTTATGGGTTCATATATATTTTGATTATGTACAATTGAGGTGTAAATTGACCCCATTCAAGTATATAACCAACTTACAACATAAATATATTGTTACTTTGTTAGGGTATTACCGTGTATAACCTATTCCTTAAAAATGAGTCATTTACCGGTTTTACCCTGTTAATGGTGTATAAGAACTGACCTATACCGTATTATGTACAGGCAATTGTGTACAAATGCCAGAATGATAAGAAACAAAACTTGGGAGATCTTATATACTCATGTCTAAAAAAAAAAAAAAAAACAGGGTTGTACACTGGTTAGCAAATGCCAGGATCAATCAAAGTGCAAGAATAGAGCTTGACCAACTCTCCTAATTAGGGAGAATTTATTCTTCATCATGACATTAACAGTTACAGAGTACGGAGTAATATTCTCTGTTTGAGGCCTACCCACCTCTTTAGCACCCAAAAAAAAAAAAAAAAAAAAAAAAAAAAAAAAAAAAAAAAGCCAAGTACTTGAAAAATAGCCTATTTTTATGACCCAAACTGGTCTTGGGAATAAATAATGTTAAGCAGGGAATTCAATTTGCGATATAATACAACCGTGCTCAGTCAAATGATAAATGGTTCGTTTCCCTAACAAAACAGTTTGTCCACTATCAGGAATCATATATTAATGGCCTACAATTACCCTGAACAATCAAACAACTGGAGTCAACAGCGGTTTTCCATTGAAGTGAGCCTCCAAGTTCCCAAGAACAAGATTAGCCATGTCAGTACGAGTCTCCTCAGTCCCACTTGCAACATGAGGCAAGAGTACTACATTGTCAAGCTTGAACAACTCTTCAGGAACATGAGGTTCATTTGCAAAGACATCAAGCCCAGCTCCACCTAGCCGGCCATCAGAAAGTGCTTTTACTAGCTCTGGTTCGTCAACATGAGGGCCCCTTCCAATGTTGATCAGAACACCTTTAGGCCCCAAGGCGTCTAGTACTTCACGGTTGACAATATGTCGTGTTTCTTCAGTTAAGGCACAAGCAACTACCAGTATGTCGCAATTGGAGACAAGCTCGATGACACTGGGATAATAAGTATAGTTTGAATCAGCCTTCTTAGATCTTGAGTAATAAGAAATTGGACAGTCAAATGCTTCAGCTCTCTTGGCAACTGCAGCACCAATCCTACCCAAACCTATAATTCCAACCCTTTTGCCACTGAACTAGAAAGAAAAAGCAGAAAGCACAGTTAGTGCTGAAAGGAACACTCATGGAATGAAATACAATAGAAAGTTGGCAATAGGTTTAGTCAAAAAGATAATTGAGTACTCGTTTGCATTATCAGTCCCTTATATAAAAAGAGCAGCATGTAAATACCAATGAGGCAATGCATGATACAACAAAGTACAGCATGTAACATAGACAAATTGGCATATTTACTCTGTAAAGCAAGCAGCTCAATGGCAAGAAGGCCAAGAACCTATTCAATACTGAATGGAGTTTGGTGGAGGAAATCAGTATTGGTAATAGATATGCCAGTAACAGGTTAAAACTAGCCTAACATATCCAACTAGCTACAGCTTCATGGTATGGTAAACTGGTAAAGTATAGATGCAGGTTTCCAACTTCATAATCACAAGGACACATTTTTGAGCATCCTCGGTTAGGCAGAAATTTTAAACTAAAAAAAAAGGATAAAAAAGAACAACAAACAAAAAGGAATTTACAAGGGGGAATGGAGGATCAGTATTAATTCGCACAAGCAATTTCAAGATAATATCACCAATCATATTGTTTAGTTATGCATTAAATTAGTTACCACCTAACGATCTCCCGTTCATCTCCAGTCCAACATAACCAAAGCAAAGATCATCAAAAACAGCTAAAGCACAAGGAAGATATTGTCAACATGATTTCCAAGCCCAAGCCCCCACCACACCCCACTCTATTTTGTGGTTCACAAAGACTGAGCCAGCTAAAGGGTCACTGTTGATATAGAAAACCCTAATTAAAATTCAACATCTATGCTTGTAATCAGCATTTTAACATCTATGTGCTCTCATGCATAACAGCTAATTTAAATTTAAGGTTTCTGAGCAGCAATTTTTCTGAGTTTTTGATGAGCTTCATGCTGATAGCTATATGATCAACAATATGGTGAATTAAAGATAAAGACTTGCAGTTGGGTTTTGATAGCCATAGTAAACATTTAAACTTTTAATCATGCTTGGAAACTTTGTAGATTAAAAAAACAGGACACCGCTACTAAAACTTTACAGGCCCTGCCAGAACAACCCAGTGCAGATACCATAAGGTCCATAGCAATGATACATGAGCATGCATTTTTCGGAGTTGACGGCTAATACATTTACAGTATCTTGCAAGTCAGATAAAAATCACGAATAGACAATTCAGTAGGATAAAATGTTCTCCCCAATTCCTGAAGTAGCAAAAATTAGGCTCTTTGCTCAAATTGCACTACAAACCATTTCTACAAAACTTAACAGATTTACAAATTCATTATTACCACATTTAAAAAACAATAAACAAAATTCAAATTTGATATCAGTTTTTACTCAACTCAAATTATATCAAAGCATAATCAGTTCAATATCAAAAGAGCCAAATTATACCAAAGCATAACAATTCAATGTGGCTCCTTTTCTACTCAAATTACACCAAAGAAAATCAATTTAATTTCAACACAGTCACATTAATCATCAAACTACACCAAAATCTATCAGCAACAACATCAATGGACTTCAGTATTTCATCATCAAAATATAAACAATTATAAATGAAAGAAAAATTAAAATTGGTTACCATTTAACTCAAATTAAACCAAATCAGAATCAATCAAACTTCAGAATAACCATATTAACCATAATTCAATCAAAAAAATGAATCAAACCCAATTCCATAAATAAAAGGGTAATCAAATCAAATTAAATCAAATTAACATACCCTAGTAGTCAATCGAAAATCCCCTTTCTTCCACAACCCATTACGAACATAAAGATCACACTGAGGAATCCTCCGTAAAACAGCAAGCATAAGCCCAATCGCCAAATCTGCAACATCATCAGTCAAAACATCAGGGGTATTAGTAACCTTGATTCCTCTTTCTTTGCATTTACCCAGATCAATTTTATCAAGTCCGACGCTAAAACTCGACACAATTTCAAGCTTCGGCAAAGCGTCGATAAGGGAGGCGTCGGCGCCGGCGAAAGCGTTACCGACGACGGCGCGAATGGAGTTGGCGTGTTGAGAGAGGAACTGGGTTCGGTCTGGAAAGTTGGAGAAGTGGAAGAGATTGTAGCGTTTGGTGAGTTCTTCTTCAAGGTAGGTGTTCATTGGGCATGCTAATAGTACTCCAATTGACTCCATTTTTTTGTTGGTGATGATGTTGTTGTTGATTGAGTTGAGTGTGTTTTTTGTGAGAGTGTATTTTATGGATTGTGAATAAATTTGTGTGGAATTAGTGGTTGGAAATTATCAAATTAGACTTGGTTTTGGTCGTGTCTTGTGTGATTTGTTTGTTGTGTTATGTTGGGCATGTAGCATATATTCGAGTGACACGTACTTTAAGATTAGGGAGTCCTCGATGATATGAATGTACCATTAAGGTTTCGGTCAAGTGGTTATGACTAAGGGTGTGTTTTCTTCAAATTATTTTAAGTTAAGTTCAGTTTAGTCAATTAAAACAGACTCTAAGATATACTTCCTCCGTTTTAAATACTTGGTTCATTTCTCCATGCGCGGAGTTGGAATTAGGAGGTTCTTATTTATGAGCATTGCAATTTACGAGTTTATTCCTCTCTACATTCACTTAAAAAGATTGTTTATTCCTCTCTACATTCACTTAAAGGATTTTTCATCACTCCCTCTCCCACTTTCCATTCTCTTTCATCAAGTAAATGATTATAAAATGATAAATGTTAAATGTGTTCAATTATAGCAAAAGAAATGTTATTTAATAGAGAATTAATGTATGCCAATTGATGATCTGATGTTATATTTTTTAAATTCTATTGTGTAAAAAACAAGCATAACAAATTATATAAATGAAGATTTGTGGGGCTTAATTCCAGTTTATATAATGCATAATGAGGAGATTCTACTTTCCTTCACTTTAGGAGATTTCATCTCATGGTTGGGATGCCATGAGACAAAGCGGCCACAAACTCCTTTATGAGGAAATTTCTCCTCATGATGAGTGGATTGGCTCTAAAGGGAATCCATTCTCTTCATCACTAGCACAATTTGTTGTCACCGAGCACCACAACTTCAAAACCTTGTCAATATTGATCCTAAATACCAAACTTGACACAAAGAAGAGCGGACTACTTTCATAGCAAGTAACTATAGCCCACTATCAGGTATTGTCCATATCAAGTACTTTTTTATTATTATTATTTTTTTTGTTTATACTGTTATTATTGATAAATATACTATTATTGTTGATTTTATACTATTATTTTGTATTCTATACCGTTACTATTCCAATGAGATTTTCAATGAATAAAGAGGGGAAAAGAAAAGAGCATATTTTGTATTATACTGTTATTATTAATTTTATACTGTTATTATTGATTTTTATACTATTTTCATCCCTTGGTATGGACCATACCGGTAGCAGTCCATCACGCCATTAAACAACTAATAAGGGCGAAATGTCAATGGTGCATGCTTCAATCCCCAATCCTTATTCTACTTTTTTCTTGAAGTCTTGAACCCATTGTCTAATCATTTTTCTTCAAAGGTGTCTTAAACACTTTAACAATTTGACCTACATTAGTGACCTAACTATTAACTAATTAGACAAATTGACTTTTCCCACCAATCCACCATTGCAATTGTGATCACCTACCACATCTATACCAATAGATGGTTGGATCAACCCAATATAAGGGTAGACAAATTATATCTATTCTACAAGATAGAATCAAAGTTTAGTAACAATAATCATTTTCCTTAATTACTCTCTACAAATAAGTAAGAAACTTGTGATTAATGTTAGTACAATAGTACTTGTACTTATTTTTGTATATATGATCGATGAATATTGTAAGCTCAGTAGACCTATATGCATGTTTGACATACTCCATTGAATTGTTCCATTTTAATTTTCCCATTTTTAATTTGAACTTTTTATTCACTTTTTTTTTTGAGGGAAACCATACGGTGTAATCATTAATTAATGGACAAAGTGTCCGAGAGTACATATGGAGCAACTTTCGGGGGACAATGATTCACCCAAACTTGCTCTACACCGAAAGGCCTTAATTTAGCTAAATGATGCGCAACATTATTGCCATCTCTCTTAACATGAGCCCAAGCAAAAGGAGAAAAATCATTACGTAAAAATAAAATATCCTCTAGAATTCCATCAAGATCGGAGAAGTAAACCGCACCCTTGGAAAGCCGGTTCACAATAACTTGGCAATCTGTTTCCAAAATGACATCTTTATACCCATACTTCCTGACAACGCCAATAGCAAAACACAATGCCTTTGCTTCAGCCACTTCAGGAGGCCACCAAGCTCTTACTCTACGGGAAGCAGCCAACAGCACCTTCCCTTCACCATCACGAACCACAGCACCCATTCCAGCCTAACCCTCTTCAGCTAAAGACGCATCCGCATTCACCTTGACAATACCCCTAGGAGGAGAAACCCACCTCTTGCTGCTGAAAGGAATAGTGTCCTTCGAACAAGTGTATTATTCTGATAGCGGGTTCAGAGTTATTAGAAAGCTAATATATTCAGTAAAGTCAAGTGATCGGAATGCCTGGGTGGAGGCCGCTTCCGATCAGTAATATTAATATAATTAATATTACAGCTTAACCTTGACTAAACCCTTCGGGTCACACCCAAGCAAATATATGCGAACCAACTCGACGACTTAATTCGGAAGAAATTAATTCGTCGCCCGAGTGTTAAATAATTAGACGTCGGTAATTCGAGCTTAGAGCGTCGAAACCGATCGTCGGAAGTCGAGTCTAAATGATAAAAGACGAGACGCGCAAAATAATAATAAATCAACAATATTCCCGAAAATACCCCTAGTATCGAAGTGCCCCGAGCATCCGAATGCTAGGGACAAGACGAGCTGGCGCACCGTGCTGGCAGCCACGGCCAGCCGCGACTAGGCACAGCAGCAGCCGCGTCGCACCACGGCAGCAGCCGCAGCCGCACCGCGCCACAGCAGCAGCTGGTGCGGGTTGGGCTCGGGCCGGGCTCGGATTTGGCTCGTGACTTGGCTCGGGCCATAGGGCCGTGAATAAGGGGAAGCTTAGATTATGGAGTAAGTGGGGTTTCCATGTGGCACAAGGTGAGGGAGAGTGTGGGGAGCAAGTTTGGTCCCCATCTCCAAGTGGTCCTCCCTACTCTCTCATGTATGCTTGACACTTGTTGATTTATTACTAGTTTGCTTAATAATTTTATTTTAGCTTTAAAATAAAATGTGAAAATCTCATTGTCCCACATTGATGGGAGAGATTTTCATACTCCCATCATTCTCTATAAATACCCAACTTGGGGCATTGGAAATGATGCTTGAGTGGGAGTTAAAAAGAGCATTCCATAATTTTGGGAAAACTCTTAAACTCATATAACACTCGGGTTTTGGTCGGACCTCGCTAACCCCCAGGTAGTAGACCTTAAAGTTGTGTTCGCCTTTTTGTGGGTGGATACCGTCGGAGGCGCGGCGCTTGACGTGCTCGTAGCTTTCAAGTAAGAGCCCCGGTTTTTGGGCGAAGCTCGCTTCGAGGGTAAGATTCGTTATCTTTTCTTTGTGATTATTTATTTATGCTTTATGATTTTAATTATTGCGAGTGGTTCCTCTGGTAGGGGTTTGTTTCCGCGGTGAGTCGGACTCACCAAACCCCAACAGCGGTATCAGAGCCCCGCTCGTTTATCTTTATAATCATATTTTTCAAGGTTTATTTTGGCTTAATTTTCTGGTTTAAGTTGCTAATTAGATTAGTAGCTCCGTTTTATTTATTTTAATCCCGTTTTTAATGTCGAGTTTGGCCCAGAACCCTGATTTTCGCCCAAGACTAGTGAATTTTGGGTGGAAAAAGTGTTATGGAAAGGTTTTTACCCCCAAGGGAACTGTGATTTTAGCCAAATTCTGACCAGAAATGCCTTTTTCGAGGGGTTTTTCGTTTTTGACGAAATTTTTTAAGTCTTTTCTAACCTTGAAATTAATGGCATAAATAGTTGATTATATGGTTGATTATTTGCATTATTTTCTGCATTTTTATGTCCCCTTAAAGCACACTTACTTGGTAGTATTTGATGCTTAAAAGTTGATTTATTTTCACATAATGGCAAACTAATTGCTTTTTAGTGTGAAAGTTTTATTTTTTGAGGCTTCCTAAGTGTTAAAGATTCAATCTTTATTTGTGATAAGTGATTGAAACTTTAAAAACCACTAAATTCCATGTTATTTTGTGTTGAACTTTGATGTTTTAATCTTTTTGAGTTGATTGGAAACATAAAGTTTCGATTTTTGTGATAGAAATTTGGTTATCTTCACGTTGGAAGATATAATTTTCAAGGATTCACAAAATTTAGATGTTGGAATTTTCATTATGAACATTAAAGTTCATATTTTTCCAACTTCCCTTTACTTTGTCAAATTCTCAAGTTTAATTTAAATTGATTGAATTGAAAATGAGAAATTGCCTCAATTTTATGTTGCACCAAGCTAAACCAATTTAATTAAGAATGGTTCTTGGAATTATTTTGGTTATTTGCACTTTGAAAATTTTATTAAGTTAGACTTGTTTAAAATTTTATTTTGCTCTCTAAATTAGTTCTAAAATTAATTTAGAATTAATTATTGTTGTCTCGCGAAAAGGGATCAAATCCCGAGGCCGTGGCACGCAAAACGAGGCATTGCATCACCTTGGCGAGCCGGGCTGCATAGCAGCCCATATGTGGCTGCCAAGGTGGCAGCGCCGCCTTACTTGCAGCCACACGCGCGGCAGCAACCACGCACGGCAGCAGCACGCGGGCTGCAGCAGCCACGCGCGGCTGTGCCGTGGCAGCAGCTCGCGGCTGTGTGCCGTGGGCCGTGTGTTCGTGGTCTTGGCGTGTGTGTATGCTTGGTGCGGTGAGGTGGCTAGCCGTAGTAGGCTTGATGTTGCTTATTTTGCCGTTTTATTTATTTTAATTAATTTTGTTTATTTTAATTAAAATTTTGGGAGGCTAGGCCTCGGTTTTGAGCGGCATTGGCAAAATATCATTTTGACAAGTTTGGGTGCTACCAACTTAATTAATTAGATTAATTAAGGAAATGCGGAATTTAGTGGGAGCTTCAATTATTAATGACGTAAATTATATAATCGGTTAAACAACTTTGACTAGTTTTAATTAGGCGTGTTAATCGGATTAACCACCTAGATTAGTTACTAGTGCGCGCGTTGTTTAAATGCATTTTATTTTGTTTTAATTTGTAAATTGCATGGGCCATTCACAAATAGTGAATGGATGAATGGAATATATATATTCTCTCTCACAGGTTTTATGAAATGGCAACTAGTGGGACCTGACTATGATAGAAAATACGGACTACGT